ATTTAACAAATAAATGGAGGTACAAATTTATAATAATAATATAATAAAAATACAATTATGAAATAAAAATATTTTTCGATCTGCGCATATCAGCAATGCTCAACTTCTGACCTACTTGCTCAAGGTTTTAAAGCTGCTTATTGGACATTTTTCCGCAACGTCTGAAGTCTGATATTGCAGCAGGTCGAAAAGTTAGTAGGTCAGAAGTTCAGTACAGGGATGTCCAATGTAGACGATGGAACATTACCATAAAAAATATTCTATTGTCAGGAAGTTTCAGTAGAATCATGAACTCTGTGATAACATTCTTAAATAGTCATCTCATGCTACATTCAACAAATAGAATTGCTCTCCTAGCTTCACACTCATCAGGTACAGGGTGTCCCAGTAAACATGAGATCTCCAGGTACAGAGTGTCCCAAAAACATGAGATCATAAGATGTAGGGTGTGGTGTCCCATTACACATGGAATATTTAGATTCAATGTGTCCTAATAAAACATGAGATCACAAGATACAAGGTGTCCCAATTAACTTGAGAAAGATACAGGTCGTCAAATAAACATGAGATCATAAAATAAAGGGTGTCCCAATAAATAAATAAACATGGGTCCGTGATGTAACCATGTGTCCCAATAAACATGGGATCATAAGATATATGGTGCATGTCATTAAAGCTGAATAATTAAAAGATTAAGTCTACATCAAATTGACAGATATATTTATAAATATGATCCCATTTCTATTTTGTAATTTGTATTTATATTGCTATTTCAAGGAATATAGACCCAATTTTTTAAATCTAACTTTTTAGAAATCTTTTGGGTATTAACTCAATGCTCCATACTAATCACTGATCAGTGATCATATTAGAATAAGTTGTTTTAATGAAAAAAATCACGTCCTCAAATTATTACACGCTGGCATTATATATCTTTATTTTCCTGGGTTGATATAAAGACAAATTCACTTTTAACTAAAATTATATATGATATTTTGGAACATGACTTTTACCATTTGAAATTAGTAGAGTCATTTTGAAATTGAAGAATGGAAGTATTTTTTTGATTTTCTTCTTAAGCTTCTAAAAATAGTTTAAGTCATTCTGTCATTTGTATTAATTATCTTGTGATAAAAAAATTTCAAACATTTTATGAAGTAAAGATTTTTTTCAAAATTTTTTATCATGATTAGGTTGCTCCTACCTATACCCTGACCCTTCAGAAGATACTGAGCTTTTACGACAAAGAGTAAGTGCTGTTTTAGACTTCACAAAAAACCATTGATCCAACTTTTTGTATTTCATTGTAGACTGTTCGTTTTAGAATAATTTGTTCCAGTGTTAAATTAACCTTTTCCTTTGTGATTGTGCATTTGCGGATGAGGTCTAAACATTAGTATTTTTATTCGTAATCAGTTCAACTACGTAATCAGTCCCTCCTTCCTTGGGGGTCGTCAGATGCTGCCTCCTAATTTTATTTATATTAATCCATTTAGAAAATATAGACTTTGCCTCTCTGTCTGTTGTTTGTTTGTTTGTAACCCATAAACGTCTATAAACCGATAGGGTCCCAGTTTCCTGTGGGACCTCACATGACTTAATAAAAATTTTAAAAAAAAATCCTAGAAAATATTTAGATTTATTTTAAATACTTACAATTCAAAAATGAAAAATCGGTCTAAAGTTGAAAATGATTTAAAACTTTCATACCAAAAGATAAAAGTAAAATTATTTACAGAAAAGGGAAGCGCAAAGTCTAGTAATTTTATATTGTTACAGGACGGTCAGTATGAAGTGCTGTATCAGGTTGAAACTGTTGTTAGAAGGAGACTTAAAGCAGTTCTTTCAAGGTATACAATTTATCTCATTTGTGTTAACCTTCATCAGGCCGTAGATTTCAGGCTGGATTTTTGAACAGGATATTTCAATCTCAGTTTTCTATTCAGAAGTCATTTTCTCTGTCAAGTTAAACACTGGTATTCTCTGTAGCTACATAAGGTGTACAGATATAATGTAACTCTCACACCTTATTATTAGTTAAAAATTGACATTTATTGTTTAAATATATAGTTTTAGCCATTTTTTATAAATATATGGTGTAATTTTGTTCTACTCGTCTTAAATTGAAAGATATATACATTCTTTCAAAAGCAGCGTCATAAATGGGTGGGCAAAGGGAGGCAAGTAAAAGAGAAACTGCGCACATTCAGATGGATAAAGGAGAAAAAAGATGAATGAAATTATTAACCATTATTACCATTTTATTTTACAAAAATTATAAAAAATAAATTATAAAAATCATTGTTAACAAAGAAATTTTGGGTAGGACATAGGTTTTCAATAAATACAATATACAAATCTATGTACAATACATACAAATACTTTGCTTGTCTGTTTGTTTTTTTGGTTGTATCCAATATATATCAAAACTATTGAACCAACTCTCATGAACTCAGGAAAGGTTTTTGCCCGGAAAAAAATGCATTTGATGATTTTTTGAAAATGTGCAAGTTTAAAGAGAAAAATTCGCGTTTACAAATTAATTCCACAGCTAAAATTGTTCTCAAAAAAAGGCATGAAGCGCCCTGAGAGTTTAGTATAGTTAAATTACTTTTTGTTGCCTGAATTGATTTTAAGAAGAGTTAATTAATGTTTATTATATACGACATACGTATTACGTATAAAAGAATTAAATTGGCCAAACATGAATATTTCCTTTCAGTAAATTTGTTTTTATTTACAGATCACTCAAATGGTAAATTGACCAAGCATCATGATTTAACAAATAAATGGAGGAACAAACTGTTAACTGGACGAACATCATTCGAACAAATTGAACTTGACTTTTTAGCGTTTTAAATTTTTTTTTTTTACTTAGGTATTGCAAAAAAATTACCAGAAAAAAAAACTTTATAGAAAGCTGCCTAACAAATTGTCACAAGAAGAGTTATTTGTTACCAAGTAATAATTACTATTCCTTAGGACATTATAATATAAACATAAATTTTAATCCTTATTATCTTCTAATATTTATATATTAATGCCAAGGATCTTGTTGTTGTTTGAAGTGAAGTACCCTCCATTCTCCATTTATAGAGTGTGATATCCCATTCACTGCGGTATCTGTTAAACCGATGTCTGATTATCGATGAGAGAGATTTCCTAATTTTTCTAACTGATAATTAAGTTTTAAAAACTCGATTGTTGCAGTGTATTCCATAATCGGAGGGCTATTTGATATTTATTCTTTTGTCCCTTTATTGATCATGTAAATAATTAAATGTTGTCCATCGGGAATTTATAACGACAGTCACATTAACAAATTAAAGGGATTGTATGCGTAATTTTAAGTAACCCTCAATGCAAAGATAGCAATGCCCGATTTACTATCGGATTTTAGTATGAATTAGATATCAATTGTTACTGATTTTAAAAACTGATTATTTTAATTGTGGTTTATCTACAAAAGTAATGTTCACATTTCTATTGCAGGAAAGCTATAAGATAGATCATAAATTAACATTAACAAAAATATCTTCCTAAATATTGATCAGATAATGGTACCGTTGTGAATCGAGGATTGTCATCTTTGAATGGAGGGTCACTCGAAATTTGGCTTACAGTCCCTTTAAGTCCTTTTAATATCCAGGGATATGAATCTGGGAAGTACAGCGGGTGCTGAATCTTTATTATCTGGAGGACTGGCTATGGCACTAACCTACATAAATAGAGTTAAGATGAATCTCTCCCCGGCAGAGAAAATAAACCCCAGGTATTTAGATTTATATAAAACTGCAGTCTACGTACTTTTGAGTGAACTCGTGCGAGTCTTGACCCCTGTGCGTCCTGATTGTGCAATCTCCATCCAAACTGTTATTCCCTACTGTGTGTCTACACTGTTAGTTTCTCTGTGTGTCTTTCACTGTGTGTCCACACTGTTAGTTTCACTGTGTGTCCTACTGTGTGTTCACACTGTTAGTTTCACTGTGTGTCCACACTGTCAGTTTCACTGTGTGTCCATACTGTTTTTTTCACTGTGTGTCTACACTGTTAGTTTCATTGTGTGTCCACACTGTTAGTTTCACTGTGTGTCTATACTGTTAGTTTCACTGTGCGTCCACACTGTTAGTTTCACTTAGTTTCTTTCACTGTCTGTCCACACTGTTAGTTTCACTGTGTGTCCACACTGTTAGTTTCACTGTGTTTCCATACTGTTAGTTTCACTGTGTGTCCACACTGTTAGTTTCACTGTGTGTCACACTGTCAGTTTCACTGTGTGTTCACACTGTTAGTTTCACTGTGTGTCCACATTGTTAGTTTCACTGTGTTTCCATACTGTAAGTTTCACTGTGTGTCCACACTGTTAGTTTCACTGTGTGTTCACACTGTTAGTTTCACTGTGTGTCCACATTGTTAGTTTCACTGTGTTTCCATACTGTAAGTTTCACTGTGTGTCCTCACTGTTAGTTTCACTGTGTGTTTACACTGTTAGTTTCACTGTGTGTCACACTGTCAGTTTCACTGTGTGTTCACACTTAGTTTCACTGTGTGTCTTTCATTGTGTGTCCAAACTGTTAGTTTCACTGTGTGTCCACACTGTTAGTTTCACTGTGTGTCCACACTGTTAGTTTCACTGTTTGTCCACACTTAGTTTCCACACTGTTAGTTTCACTGTGTGTCACACTGTTAGTTTCACTGTGTGTCCACACTGTTAGTTTCACTGTGGGTCCACCCATATTTTTTTCAGGCTCTTAGTGATTTCGTCAACAGGTGACAGTGCTGCCCAATATATAAATTATATGAATGTATTCTTCACTGCTCAGGTATTTTAAAACTACTTTCATGATTCCAATAACTTGAAAAATTTATGTATCCCCTTAAAAATACGCCTGCTAATAAAGCAAGAGTAAATATTTTCTCAAAAGTTAATCATCCTCCAACTCAAATGAAATTGTCCGGCGAGGTGGGGAATGTTGGGAAGGTGGGGATTCAAGAAAAAAATATTCCTTTCAAGGAAATGTTTGCCAAAAATGAAAGGGGGCATAGGCTTGCGGCGAAAAATAGTCGTTTTAACAATTTTCTCCTTTTAGACGCAACAGATAGAAGTAAGATAAGTAGCGGCTAGCGATCAAAAGAGATTATTTTTCGCCGTAAACCTGTACCACTTTCATTTTTCGCGAACACTCCCTTTAAAGGACCTTAAGCGTATTTTGAAGTTACCTTGACATGTAAAGATGGCATTACTCGATTCAAAGTGGTACCCTTTAAACCTTTAGAAATAATGTGGAAGATAATGTCGTTTTTCCTGGTTAAAAGTGTTAGATTTTAATAATTACTATAAAATAATTACCATTAGAAATATTCAGTTTTTCAAAATTTTAAACATTTGTTTCTAATTCAAACTTGATCAGACAAAGCTTTTAAGGACAATGTTCTAAATTGGGTATTGCAAGTTTCGCTTGAGATAGGGGGTGGGGGGTCATTTTAAATTACGCGTACAGTATCTTTAAGCTAAAGAAGGAAAATATAATTTTATGAAATGATAGAAATTACGTAATTATCATTCAACATTATATTGTAATTTATTAATTGTTTATGAAAAAAATATTTTAAATAAAAACATTGATTACATAACGTGCCACGGTTAAAGTTTGGCTTCGTGAGGATAATTAAAAAACATTAAGTAATTACGCACACGTTTTGCACATACTTTTTATGTTTTAGATAATTCAAAAGTAAACTTGTATTCACACTTAAGTTTTGATTTAAGATATTTCCAAGTAAACCTCCTGAATGTTTAGAAACTAAGCTACCCCCTTGATGTTTGTATGCTGGGGACAGATTCAGGGTTACTTCAACAAGGCAGTGATATCACAGGTAGTTCTTATTATTTATCATTCAATCAACCCATACATAGATATGATATGTAGGTCTTATTATTAATTGATCAATTAATTAATCAGAAGATAGATATATCACTAATGAATCAATTAATAGATAGATATCACAGGCAGGTAAAAAATATGGGCCTTTTAAGGGGTTGGGGAGAAATAATGAAGAAAAAAGGGAAAAGGGAAGGGGAAAAAGAAAGGGGAAATGAGGAGGAAACGAGGGAATTTATTTTTTATTTGGTGGTATTGGATCATATGGGAAAATAAGGAAAAATATGATATTTTTTACCCCAAAAGGAAATAGGGAAGGGAAAAGGGGGGTAGAGGGAAGGAGAAAGGAGGAAAAAGAAGGAATTTATTTTATATCTAGCAGTGTTAGTTTATACAAGAAACCAAGCAAACCCTTTTTTGGGAAAAATATTATATTTTTTCCCCTCAAAAGCAATATCATGTTTTCCCCCTTTAAAAAGCTAGTCTGTTCCTGTGCATTTTCATGACTAAAAAAAATAATTTTAAATTCTTAGGGGGGGCCTGGTTATTGACTTTTTTAGGGCACGAAATGCTCCATTATACAACTAAAATCCAAAAATTAGCTGTNATACTACGTTCTTCGGTATCAGTCGTTTTTTGCAATTTTCTCCTTATAAACGCAACAGATAGAAGTAAGATTAGAAGCGATCAAAAACGCTTTTTTTATCGCATTAAGCCCATACCCCCTTTCATTTTTCGCGCACACTCCCTTTAAATTCGTTGCTTTTAAAATTCAGTTTATATCCTCAAAAATTTAAATTTAGAAAAGATGAAATACAAGTGCTTTTTATGGCTGTAGATAAGGCTGTAGATACAAGCCACGGTATTTGGGGCTTCGCGGCTTCAGCTACTTCCACTCGGGCATAACAGTATCATTGCACATGTCATGCTAACTCTGTGACCCATGTACTCCTAAGTGAGGCAGAGGGTTGCCGGGAGGGGTGGTTTCCTGGTAACATTCGTGTTATTGGGATGTCATAATAGATAGATAGATAGATGTAAACATAAACCGCTGAAGAGAACCTTTATTATTTTTAATTTGTAAATTAATCCATATTCTAAGTTTCACTCAATTAAAAAGTTCTTTGGTTTCATTTTGCTGAATTTTGATAAAATGTGAAGAGAGGCTTTATCTTGAATTTAATGCGATATTATTATTTGGTTAAGGCAAAAAATACTTTTTTTTCTTCTTTAAGGTAAAGTAATGGTGATTGATTGGTTATTATACCACATTCTTATAGATTTACTACGTGGCCAAATCAGGAATAATTCTTGATATTGTCACCCATTTTGTGTAATAATTATAATTATTCGTGTAAAGGTGGTATAATATTATTATGCGTAGGAAGAAAGTGTAATTATCAAAATTATTGTTATAATATTGAAAGAAAAACTTTTCGGTGAATGATCAAAATTATTCCACGGTTTTTCTTTCAATATTATAACAATAATTTTGATTATTTCACTTTCTTCCTACGCATAATATACTATTGTTGTTTGTTTTTTGGTCCGCTTATGAATTGTCGGGACTGATACATTATCCTGAGCCAGCGATTTAAAAAAAACTCAGGAAAATACGGCTCGGGTCTAAGCTGTCGTTGGACCTTATTTACGACATGAACTTTAGGATTCAAGCTGCATCTTATTTTCCACCGAGTTGAATTCAAAAAACCGGTTTAATATTCTATTTGGCGGATTTTCATGTTAGGAATAGGCGCATTCCCAGTTTTTATAAGAACAAGACGTAACATTGAGCCTTATTCTCCACTTAAACCAACCACGGTCGGTTTTATTTTAATTGGGCCTTACTCCTTAATTCGAGCCGAAGATCTTGCAGCTGTCAATCACGTGACACAAGCTTTCGTCAAAGTTGAGTCTAAGATTGGGTCTTAAAGTCGGGTTTAAGGAATTACGGCGGCTGCAAAAGAAAGAGTTTTAAGCCAAACGTGTTATTTGAAAAGACATATTTAGGTACTGTTCGTAGGGGATAATTTTTCATCTATTCTCTGTTTAGGAGGGGTGTACTTAAAGGTTGAGAATATAGAAAGATTACTACAGTACCTAGTTTGGATGTTTCTTCCTTCTCCTCCCCTCCGTAGTATGCTAGGAGCTCCACCCCCTGTCAAGTAAGTTGATTAAAAGGACTGTAGAAGTGTAGATGTAATTTCAATTATCCTGCTTATAAATTGCCATCTTATATTCACAATGGTACGCATTAAACATTTGTCTGATCAAGGATGATAGAAGGATCAATTTTTAGTTAATTAATTTNGGGGGGGGGGGGGGATTCTGAGAACAAACACCATTGGTATACTTTCTTAATGTTGGAAAAATTTTAGATCTAGTGAAGGATTTTTTTAATTTTTTTCTTTTAAGGGTTGACTACCGAGCCGCCTGCTTCTGTCACAGACAGCTGGTTGATGTTGGATACGTTTGCTCTGTCTGCCTTTCAATATTCTGCAGGTTCAAACTTAAAGGGACTCTCTTCCCTATTTTAAAGGGACTGTAATTGTAATTTCACAGCGGTTTCCTAAAAACTTTAATCTGTATAAATAATGTAGTATCTTAAAAATCTCAGGCTACGGTTTAGATTGATAAGTAAAACCTTAAATTGGTTCGGAAGTTCTCACGAAATTTCAAGTGACTCTCCATGCAAAATTGACAATGCCCGATTTACAACGGTACCATCAAAAGCTTTGTCTCATCAATTATGAATCAGATATGTATGTTTTTTCCTTTCTAAACTTCTTAATTTCATTTGAAATTAGGCTTACAGTTTCTTAAATGTTCATAATTGATTTGCTGTTTATCCGACATTTTGGTCGGCATTTTCTCTTATATTTGGTTCTGGCAAGGGATCATGTGGAATTATTGAGAATTATTTTTGCAATACATGCATTCAATCTCACATTGAAAACATTGCGAATTTACTCTAAATTAGTTCTAATTCAAGCCATGTTCTTGCTCGACTTTCTTGTTAAACCCCACTTACGTTGCTGAGTTAAACCGCAGCCTAAGATTTTAAGATAAAAATTAGTTTTTAAAGATCCAGGTTTTTAGGATAGCGTTATGAATCGTTGATGACCCCCTTTCAATGGAAATCAGTCTTTAATTTACGTTGACCTTTTAAAAATATGAACATATTTCCACCAGCTTTAAGAGTATATGTTTTATATATTGAATATCTTGAGGCAAGGGGTGTATTTTTTTCTTCTGAAATCATTTTGCCCCTCCTTCTCTTTGAAAATCTATTTTTCCCCAGAGAAGATGAGAAGATGTAGGTATGTTTTTTAGGGTTTTATTGGCTGAATTACACCCCACCTCCCCCCGTGATTTATGAAAATATCCACCACTGTCCTACTTTGACATTGATTCCATTTTGTTTAGGTTTAACCCTGTGTGCACAACTTGTCATTCTGTATTTGCTCCTCCTAAAATAATACCTAAAAAGAAGAGGGACGGAGGAAAGAAGACGTGACGAGCTGTTTTCACGAATCAATGTCGACCGCCGCATTTTCTCCTAAATTCTCCTAAAATCTCATCAAGCAATTTTCGTTAATTATTCTCCGATGTATGAATACTTTATTTTCAGATATATTTTCGTTCCAAAACGTGAGAGCAAATATAAGTAAATTAAGGTAAAGAAAACTGCATGAATAATATAATTTTACTAAATTTTTCTGATGTACTGGTAAAATTAGGGCAGAATCCCAAGGAAGTTACGTGTGCATGCCGCGTTAATTACAAGACAGAGAGAGAGCCTGTTCTAGCCTTGACCCCCAAGCCCGTCCAAGCTTCAGCGCTCGGCCCCCTAACCCGTCCGAGCCGCAGTGCTCGGCCCAGAAAGTGACTAAACCTAACCTAACCCTGAAATATTATACTACTCTCTCTGTTCTTGCAATTCAACGCGGCACTTTACTTCCTTGGGTAACTAACTCCCTAAAATTAGTATTTCTCTTCATTATATAAAGTAAAAAACTTTTGATATTGTTAGCTGTTTTATAATTGAATGTAAAATAAATTTGCCCCTTTGTAAACGATTAATAATTGCAGATGGCCGAGAACCCGCTAGAGCAGTTTGTCTTGCTAGCCAAGACTGCTAAAGGGGCAGCAGCAGTTGAGTTGATCAAACAAGCCTTAGAGGTAGAATATTTTTTCATTATTAGAGTTATCATTATCCCATCTATCGAATGTAGAAGATTTGTAACTTGTTAAGTCGGTCTTTCTTTAAAAAACGCGACAATTCTCTTTCCATTATCAATAATGTTTTGTTATCTCAGGCTCCAGGAGTATACGTATTCGGAGAGCTTCTGGACATGCCAAATATTCAGGTTATATTTCAGGCTATTGATTTAATAGAGATCAGCATATACTTTGCCTGCCATTTTCAGAGGCAAAACTTTTAGTTGGGTTTGCATTAAGTTTAATCCTCAGAAGTGGAAATCATCAGTGTAAACTTTTCAATCAAAAGATTAAAGATCAATCCCAGAAATTACAACGAAATGTTGAACGGTTCAAAAAGGGGGATGCTGTGTCCGTAGACATAATGTATTACGCCTAGGTGGAGTAGACTTAATTTAGCAAGTTTTGAGGAGATTTATAAAACAAAAGAAATTGACTTCTGGTCGTTTTTTCAAATGGTGACAATAATTTTGCAAGTAAAGTTGTAAAAGAATTAATTTTGATATTTTTAACACTTAAACCTTAAAGATGACTTAGTCTTACATTGGAACCTAATTATCTTATTTGCTCTAATCTGATGCTGAAATTCTAAAACAAATGAGAAAAAAAACTTTATGAATTGATCTAGGATCTGGAAAAGAATCCAACAACTCAACCCGTCTATAAACTGCTTCAGTTGTTCGCGTTTGGAACCTACAAGGAATACGTCAATATGGAGGTAACATCTTCTTTTTAAAAAAAAATCATCAACCGTCTTTAGAAAAAAGTTTATTATGTAAGTAAAATTTTGAAAAAACTTGCGGGAAGGCCTGTCTCAGTTCTTATTCATTTATCTTAAGTAGTTTTAAATATTTTTAATTTTCATTTATTAATCTTAAAATTGGTTTTATATAACAGAATTTATTTTCTCTTACATTAGATTTTTAATTACATTTATATTTGAAGTAGGTTAAATATATGTTCGCACCCAATTACAAAGAAATTAAGCAAAATTGCTGAACATCTTCAATGAGTTCTTTAAATTGCTTCTGGAAAGATGCCTTACAAGTTGTACATTTTTTTTTTACAAATCTTCCCCTTTCATCCAAACTCCCTCTTTTCAAGTGCTCCTCCATGCGACGATGGCAAGTCCCTATTCACAACGGTACCGTTAAAAGTCTTGTCTAATCAAGTATGAATTAGATATCCGATTTTTTATTTATTGAAAATATTGTGGGTTATCTACATAAGTGACTTGCGCCTACTGCAGGAAACATATAGGAATCATGATAATTTAACCCGTTTAACCCTAGAATAACGACAATATCCTCCACAATATTGATTAGTAAATCGGACAATGCAACTTTTGTATGGAAGGTCACTTGAAATTATGATTACAGTCCCATTAAGCTATATTTTGTGTATTTCGAATAAAGGATCTATCAAATGGTTCACTTATTGTAGCTTACATACATTTCAGTACGCATTATTGTTGTATTCTATTTATAAAACCTGTTCAAATCATAATTAATATATTTATTTTTTCTTAACTTTTATTTCTGTTGTGATTTATTGGTGTTTGACTGACATGGCCTGCCAAATTAATTAATTAATTGATGGATTCCCAACTTTTTCCACTTTCCAGGTGGGACAGCTTCCTGAGTTGGGAACTGCTCCGTTGAGGAAGCTTCGCATGCTTTCTGTAGCTACGTTGGCAGAATCAGAGAAGCTTCTTCCTTACTCTACTCTGCAGGTCTAATTAATTATTAAGTTAAAAAATAAGAAGAAAAATATTTACTAGTCTGATTATTTTTGTACTTTTACAAAATATAAATTATAACTACAGTTCTTGAAATAAAACAACGAAACAACTAATTTTAGACGTGCACTTCATTGTTGATTGAATTTGAGAATTTCTGTTAATATCTTTTTTATAAAGGTGGATTAGTCCCCCCCCCCCCCTGGTAAAATTAAACAAATATTTTTAATTAGAATGAACTTGGACTAGAGAGTGTACGAGATGTTGAGGATTTAATTATTGAGGTAAATATAATATTTCAATGGCTGGTTTAATTATGAACTTAAAAATGCAAATCGTAAATCCTTGAGTCAGTCCTGATTTAGTGAAGTCATCTGGGGATTGGGGTGTGGCTGGTTATAGGGCGTCCCTAATAGTCTGGTTTACTTTAATGACACTAGTTCAGAAAGACTGTAAATATTATTTCAAGTGACCTTCAATATTTTGCAGGGGTTTTCATCTAGAGTTGTTGTGGCAGGTGTAAGATAGTCTTCACTGTGGGAAATATTTCATAGAATAAAATGCCATTCCTTTATAAAAAGCCGGTTTTTTGGTATGCAACAATTTTCATTTAATCCCGGCTCTTTTAAAAATAATAATAAATAATAAAAATAATTTGCTATTTTTTAAAAAGGAATGTCATTTACTCTCAGACAAATTAGAATCAATAAAAATTTGTCTGAGAGTAAATGATACATTTGTTGCAGATTTTTGGGTCTAAGAAAGTTATTTTTGACAGATTTAATGGACTCAATTGCTTTTTGTGGCAGAATTTGTGGACTAAGAAAATTATTTTTGACAGATTTAATGGACTCAAATGCTATTTGTGGTAGATTTGAATGTCTAAATGATGACGAATGACATTTTTTGGGTGTAATAGGTGTACAATATTTACGCTGATTATCCTAAATGTACGCTTGATTTATAGAGTTTATGGCCGATTTAAAAATTGCCTGAAAACCCTTATATATATATGTTCATGTAAATAAGGAAGATGGAGTTTTTTTTTATCTTGAGAGATAAATTCTTTAAATTTACTTTTGTTCTACATTAACCCACAAGTCTGTTTATAAATGAAGCTAGAATTGAAATCAATAATTTTTCAAAAATTAATGCATAAAAATATCCATAATTTTTGATCGATAAAACTTTTAAGTGTACTGCTGTGTACCGAACATGTAACTATGTGAAAGGGACAATTTTTTCAAATGCACAAATAAAATTACCGGGGGGGGGGGGGGGGGGGGGAGGAACAAACATATGTAATTTACTACTTGTACTTTTTTGTTATTATTAATATCTAATTAACATTAATTACAATATTAATAAATAGGAATCTAAGATAGTCAATAATATTGAGAATTTAATTAACTTATTTTAATCCTAGAATCTGAGTGTGATCTAAATTCTTTGGATGTTTCATTAGAAATATATATGGAGACCCTCATAACAGAAGTTTGTTGAATTTTAGAGAAAAATTAAATTATTTTGAATTTTATTGTTTGTTCAATTATCTTCATTTAACCTGACTTTCATAGAAAAGTAATTTTTTTTATTTGGTGTTGATGATACAATTCTCATAGAGAGTAGTTGTTAGTTCAAGATTTAATAAACATATTTCGGTCAGGTTGGACCCTCGCCAGTTCTTGAGATTGTTCTTGTCTTAAAGATTTAAAACAAACAAAATAAATATTGTTTCCTCAAAATCTTGGTTTTTGTTGAACAGATTTTATTCGAGGAAGTTAGATGTTAAATATATTTTTATTATTCAGGGTAAGAATAAGGCGGGGTTGAGGGGGGGGGGGATATTTGAATGGGCAAGCGTGCAAAAAAAATATTTATTATTTAGTTTTGTTATTTCAAATAAGGACTTAATAAAGGTTTATTTCTCGCATTTTTATAAAATCTTACATGAACTCGCGATTGTTATGGCCATCCAAAATTTTAAAATAATGATAAATGTTTTTATCTATTTATTTTATCGCCTTTTAACCAACATGTCCGACCCATGATTCCCCTGACAGATGGACGTAAATTTACTTTACGTCCCTTGGGAGAAAGAAATAAAATTACAACCCGCTCTGCGAAGTTTTTATAAAAAAAAATCGCGCACTTTTATCTCAATAGACGATAAAACTGTGAACATTACGAATTTTGCTTAACCACGGTTTCCCTCCAACAATTTCGCTGCGCTCTAGATGGTTTGTAAGCAAAATTGATCTTGGGACCCCTTAGTAAAGTAAAATTCCCCTAACTTCTCTAAAGTAGATAATGTATGAAAAAAGCAGATTGTAAAGCAACAGTTTAAAGAAACAAATTGTGCTTGATTAAAGAACGGGGAGAACCTAACAGTCTAGTTTTTATATATATTGTATATTATTAAAGGTGTACACATTATAGACTAAACATATTCTTAAACAAACAATTCCCTCCCCTTTATGTAAAGTGTGTTTTAAAAGGATAAAAACTTATTCTACTGTCCAACTTTATTTTAACCTCAGAGCATCCCAGATCATCTTATCCTTCTCCTAGAGGGGAGGGGGATAATTCTTGAAAATATAAGATATATTAATCCAGGGAATAGCGTGTGGTGTTATGAGCGGAAAGCTTGATCAGAAACTCAAACATTTTGAAGTCGAGTTCGTCATTGGAAGAGATATAAGACAGGTATTGGGATAATTGTTTTTAGTCTGATTTCCCAAGTTTAATTTAAATTATATCTATTGATTTTAGCCTGATTTTCTGATTATAATTTAAATTTAAATAAGTGGTTTTAGCCTGATTCATGATTAAAATTTCAATTTTATTCATTGGTTTTTAGTCTGATTTCCCGAGCATAGTTTTGATTTTATCTATTTTTAAGTCTGATTTTCCCGCCGAGCATTATTTCATTTTTTTCTATTTTTAAGTCTGATTTCGCGAGTATAATTTAAAATTTATTAAGTGTTTTTTGGTCTGATTTTTTTAAGCACAAGCTCAGAGTATAATTTATATTTTACTTATTTTTAAGTCTGATATCCAGAGTATAATATCAATTTTATCTCTTATTTTTAGTTTAATTTTCCGAGCTCAAATTATATTTTATCTTATAGTCTGATTTCCCGAGCATAAATTCAATCTTATCTTTTTTTAGTCTGATTTTTCGAGCAGTTTGAATTTTGCCTATATTTTAGTCTGATTTTCCGAGCATTATTTCAATTTTATAATTTTTTTAGTCTGATTTCCCGAGTATAATCTCAATCTTATCGTCCTGGTGTGAAACTTGTGACTCCATGCTATCCAGTATTGAAACCCAGGTAATTTTCAACTACGCTTTAAGAAACTAAAAAGAACAAGATTTTAAAAGTATGTGCGTTAAAAATATCTAAAATTTAAGATGCACAAATGCAAAAAGACATAGTTACACAATTTTCATTTTGCAGGTCATTTTAGGGCATGAAAGGTCGTTAGAGGTCATTGAGAGGGTCAAACATAGTTAAACATTTGCTATTTGTTGAGGTCATCAGAGGGTCAAACACTAGATATGTTGCTGCTTCTTTATTCCCTGGGTTCCTAGGTTTTGCTTGATTTACATAAAGCCTTTGTTAAAACGTTTTCATTTTGGAGGTCATTTTAGGTCATTAGAGGTCATTATAGAGCCAGGTTCAAACACTTGTTGCTGCTATTGTTTTCCCTGGGTTCCTAGCTTTCGTTTGATATGAATAAAGTCATAGTTAAAACATTTTCTATTTGTTGAGGTCATTAGAGGTCATTAAAATTTAATTCAATTTTATTTTAGGAAATTCGAACACTAATTAAGTGTGTAGCCAAAAAATTGGAAGATTTGAACCAAAAATGAACGACGGGACCCCCCCCCCCCCCCTCATCAAAAGGACATCTCCTCCATCCCCTTTAATTAAGTTTCTTGGAACTGTTTTTTTTATTGATTGATCAATGTTATTTTTTTGATCATGAAGGCCGAAGGGAGAGCTCCTTTAATGAAACGGTGCTTGAGTTTGAGCAACTGTTTTAAAATATTGATTGACTTCGTTCTGAACTAACAATTTCTAGGCTGAACGGCTAAATGATGACAAAGCAACTAAGATCCGACAAAAGGTAGATTTTTAATTAATTTTTAATTTAAATTTTGTCGATAAGTTTTTAGAATCCCCTCGGTACAAATTTGTCAAGCACAAGGGTGTAAATATTTTTGAAAAATCATTCCCCCTTTTTGAAAATAATGCTGTTGGGTTATTTTTTTTTAACTGAAAAGGGAAAAGTTGATGAATTTTTTGGGGAAAAGTAATTAAAAGGATAAAAAATTGCCTTTTCATGTCCAATTATTCACCCATCCCCCCCCCCCTCCCTCCAATTGTTATGCTTAGAATTTATTTATTTATTTAAAGAAAAATACTGGGGTTGTTTCTTGCCCCAGGCAATCCCACACCTCACAAGATGTGATCTCATATTTGTTTATATTTCAGCAAGAGTTGGAGTCGGCTATGTCGGATCTGAAAACTTTGTTCAAAAATTCCAGTGCAGATGGAGAGGATCCAGATTCAAGGTTGGACAGGGGAAGGGATTCAGGGGCTAACGCTGATAGGGGGGGGGGGCATGGGGGCTCAGCTTCCCCCCGGACCAGTCAAATCAGTGGTGTCCAGAGAAATAAATAAAATTTTATTTGGGAAGTGGAAAGAAAAGATGTAAAAGGATTGTAAATCAGAAAGGAAAGAATGTAAAAGAAAGGTCGAAAAATGATTTTCAAGGGAAAAGAAATGAGGAAAAATTAAGTAATGGGAAAGGCAGAAAAAGTAAGTAACCGGAAAGGAATGACGGCCAAGAAAGGACATGGAAAGGAAGGAATGACCACTGGACGAAATGAGAGAGAAAGGATTAAAGGAAAAGTCAAGACGGGAAATTTAGGAAGGAATAGAAGGAATAAAGGTTAATGGAAAGAACGAAAGAAATTTTGGAAAAGGAATAAGAAAGGATCAACTTGGAAGCATGGAGGAGGTTGGTTGGTGAAAGGAAGAAAAAAGAAGGTAAGTTCGTGAAAGGTTGGTTGGTATGAAAAGGGAAGTTTCGCAGATTTGGAAAGGCAGGATGGGAAAGGTAGGATTGGAATGGAAGGATTGGAAAGGAAGGATTGGAAAGGAAGGATTGGAAAGGAAGGATTGGAAAGGAAGGATTGGAATGGAAGGATTGGAAAGGAAGGATTGGAAAGGAAGGATTGGAAAGGAAGTAATGGAACAGGGAAATATTGGGAAAGTGTTTCGTCATATCTCGACGAATCAGAAAATAATATCAATAATCCCAACAATAAAACAGCTCTACCTCCTTTGTTCCCGGTGATACAAGTCTCGTAACCTCTATCCATCCATTGTGCTGCAATACATCACGATTCTCAGGTCAAAACTTAAAAATATAGATCTCATCAAATTCACATATATGTCTTAAGACTACATCTACTAAAAAAGCTTACATATTATTTCCGTCAATATATATAAAACATACCATCTTTGTCCAACATATCACGCACTTCAACACTGATCATGAATAACCCCGTACCCTTTAACCATCTTCTTACCATAGTTCTCCTCCGTCCTCAGAACAAATCCGGTAGGCTCAGTCTAAACCAACAACTATCTCTTCATATGAGTCTGAAATGAGCCGGACTTTGAGCAACTTTCTTTACGTAACTTGCAACATTTTTTGGACATCGTAATTCGTATAAATATACCAAAAAAGAAGCACAACCGCTAAAAAACTAAATGATTTGAGACCGACGTAAAAAAGGATCCACGAGTAGCCGGTGCTTATACTAGCGTTCGACTGTTATTTCACTCTGATGCACTACGTGAACTTTCTTGGATCCATCTCTAAAAATGTTTGGTTTGGTTTCTCTCGGATACTCCTTCCGGTCCCTGGATTCACCAAATCCACTTAACACTCCCCCCCGGGGGAAAGTATCCGGAGAAAAAACCAAAACCAAGAAGGGAAAAAATAAAGCTAACGAAATTCAAGTCCGGTCTCATTCCACTCAATCATCTTACTCTGGGTTTCATGATCAATATTGATGGACAAAACAGACAGGATAAATAAAGTACACAATATCAGAACAAACGATATATATTTATTAACAACATAAATTCCTTAAATGATCTCTTAAAAAAAAATTTAAAATATCAATTTTTAAAAATGTAATTTTCGTGTACTATATAGAGATCCTTGATTTACGACTATGATAGGGTAACATAATACTTTATCAACAAATAAATTCTACTGAACATTTTTTCGAACATATTGGATCAATCACGATCATGGAATGGGTATGTAATCAAGTTTAAATAATCTATTTCCATGGCTTGGACGTAATGGGAAAAACTCCTATGGCTTAAACTCTCAATAAAACATTTCAACATATGGACATAAAGGATCATAATAAAATTTACACCAAGGATCTATCCGCTCCCTGATCCATCTATATAATATCCCCAGAAAAATACGTCTCCAGATCAAACTCATCGTCTGAGTTCTTGTAGGTTTCAGATTCGATGATCTCATCATATGTCCTAACTGGAGTAGGAGCTCTCTTCCCTTTCTTCTTACCCTTGTTCTTTCTCTTCTCCGGTATGATCTTCCTGCATGAAGGTTTCGGATCATTTATTCCTACAAGATCAGGATCTTCATCTGACTCTATCTCGATCATCACAATCTCTTCAGCAGGGTCTATCATACGGATCTCTCGAGTCTCTGCATACTGCTCTACTACCTGATCACCCTGAACTTCCTTAGGTTGATCCTCCGCCGATACCTGGCCTGGTGGCTCTGCAGGATCCTGGGACTGTATATTGATCCTCTTCGCTCCAGCTCGTGATCTAGATCTAGAACGCATTCTCTTCCGGCCTCTCCTTCTCGGTTTCCAATCTGGCAACCTGGGGAGCTCTTCCAGACATAAGGTTTGATCTTCATCATCCTTAGCCCGGAGAACTGACCTCAGGTGTTCACACCGATCCTTCCTTGCTCTAATCCTTCGCTAAACAAGAATAATGAGTATGGATAAGCTGATTCATCCAGGATAAGTTGGTTGTATAATTTTGAAACGTCACTTACCCAGGTGTATTTCATGGTTCTGTTCCTTGCAACGATATCCAGGATTCTGGATATCCTGTTCTCACCTTTAGGTAGAATGATGTTGAGGCCAGTACGGGTGGGATCTACCACTAGTCGGACAGGTGTACTTAACGAATCATCTTTTAGAACACTAAACCAGGGATAAAAATGGCGAAATGGCGCATTTAAGATCATTTCTTGAGTAGTACCTGGGAGGTTATCTAGCTTAACCATGAATCCTCTCTCAACCAGTTCAGCATGAGCCCTTCTTATACCTTCCTTCTCAAATTCTGACTTCTTACATTGAGTGAAATAAATACTTTTGGCTTGTCTTAGGTTGCTGTTACTACTATGCTTATCAGTTAAAAATACTACAGGATCCTTTACAAATGGTAACTTATTAATAACTCTCCTATTTTGCATATCTACAGTAATACTTCTTTCAATGAGGTCTTGCTCTACTGCCTCCTGTAAGGAAATAGCATTTAACCTGGGGGATCTTTTACATGTAATGCATTTTGCGCATTCATCACATCTGTACGTTACCATCTCGCTTGCAGGATTATCATCATTTATGAGTTCTCTCATCTTTTGAATGGGCATGCCCGTCTTGAATACCCCGCAAAAATGAGCTTCATGTCCTTCATCTAATATCATGGGGGGTTCTTCAATTTCAATTACCTCCCCCCCACTTTTCTTATCTTTCATATTTTTCACTCCTTTCCTTTCTATCCTCATATTGACCCTCTTCATATAATTCCTATTTTTCATGCCAATCCTTTCTATCCTATCCTTATATTCATTCTTTTCCTTTCTATTCTTATAACACCCTGATTGCAATTTTGTAAAGGGGGGGGGTCTGAATGGTTACATGTGCAGCTGAGGTTTTCGACTTTACAATCCCGGATTCAATGCTCTTGTAGGGTTCGAGAATGTCTCTTTCATTATCACAGAATTGTTTTAGGAGGATAAATGCACGGATTCCGGTGGGGTTTTTCCAATCTAACCCACTTAGGGACATTAATCGCTTGAACTTCTTAAGATCATCCCCAGGGAGCAATTCAAATAGAGATTCAAGAGTCATTCTGTTATATAACAAGTTATCTAATTCAGTAATATCAATTTGTGGTACTCTAGACAACTTGTCTAATCTCGCTAATCCTAATGATAATCGGGCAAAGTAAGAATATTTCTGCTTGTCATCCCCAGGCATAGTTTTGCCCTTGAGGCCAAAAATAATTTCCCCAATGATTCTACTGGGTGATCCATATTCCTTAAATAACCACTCCTTTAAGGCAGCAAAATTATCAGCAATTGTTATAGTTTTAGACTTGATGTTTTCGCTCAGATGATCATTAAAGAGGGTATTGGCCCGTTGTTTATTGGAACCCCAGCCAATCAGATTTATCTCAAGTAATTCCATGAACTCATAAATGGTTTTATCAGCATTATCGGAGAATACACCGACCATGCTGACGTTTCCTTTTGAATTGGCGATTGAATGGACTTCAGAGAGAGCATAAATGCGTTCTATTCCGATGATCCAATCATTAGCGTTATTCAATAAGGTTTCTATGCTTTGGTAATAATCTCCATCTACTCCTTCATATGAGAGATATTTCATTAGTAAGTCTTGACAATTCTTAATGTAACCTGTTATCTTACGAACATCTTGATTACATTTCCTAATCAATCCAACCTCGCTAAATTCATCGATCTTAACTAATGTTAACTGACGGATTAATCTAGCTGATCCTTCAATAGCATTCCTGGTTAAATCTCTTTCTCTATCCTTATGCCTATTATCCACAGTTTCCAGTACCAAACTTGAAGGTGAATTAACTGCTGATCTATCTAATGACTTGTCTAACTGGTCCTTAACTTCACTGACTACAGTTCTCATGTTCTCTATTAGCATGTTATCACATTGGGATTGATGCTTGATTGCTTCTATCTCCTTCACTAACTCTTTTACTTCAATTGCAGGTGTTGATGAATTGATAGCTTCTTTTACATTCTTACTAATAAATAAGTTTAAACCTTCCTTATCCTGGCTAATCGTAGAATCATTAATCCTCTTGTTAACCCTACGCATGTGAGAGTCAACATAGGATTTGAGATTTACATCAATTAAGTCGACTCGGGCCTCTAAAGCTCCTATTCTTGATGAGGTTACGTCGTTATCCTTTTCCAGCTTTTCTAACATCTGTATTGTGCAATCTACACTCTGATTCGTTCTACACTCTGATCTATTCTTAAAGCTCTTTGTTCAGTCTCTACGAAATCTAGTCTTAATGAGATTTCTATCTTCTCTCGATTAATTAGAGATCTTATATCGTTATCTAAGGTAGATTGTATTTCAGAGAAAATGCTAGCTTGGGTGGGTTGAATATTATTAGGAGAGGATACAGGATTAGAGTTTATTGCAATGTCAAAATCAGAAAGGGGGGGGGGGTCCTTATCAGGCTCAACATCAGTGCGAGGATTAGGATTTGATTGTGGTTCATGGGGATTTTCTGATGATGTGGACTCTCTGGCAGGATTAAACTCGACATCAATAATAGGTATTGAGGGAATTACGGGGATAATAAGGTTAGGATTTAATCGTTGTCTTTCTTCCTTATCTATTCGTTTCCTCAAAGATTCCAACCTGATCTGCTTACTGGCTAACTGATCTAAAATACTTTTATCAACTAGTCTTATCAATCCTTCTTGAGATGCCCTAGCTATTCTCCGTTTAAAGTTCTCTATATCTTCATACATTCTATCAGGTTCTTCAATACTACATTCCAACCATCTATCAATATCTTTAATCAGGGATAAGCAATCTTTACGGGCCCGTTCATACTTCTCATTAATTATGGGTGCCTGTCTTCGTTGGAATCGGGTACCCCTGCCGGACCATAAAGGTGATTCAATATATTCATCAGTCAACGATGATAAATTGGGGTGGGACTGAAAGACAGGTAACTCGTCTTCACTGCCAATATCCGGGTTCAGATTATCAATATTAGCAGGACGAAAGGTTACATCACTAATTCTATCTGAATCCGATTCAGAAAATGAGCGATGACGGGATCCTTCTCTGCTATTATCGTTAACCCCCGCCATTTTAAACAATTTTAAAATGAGAGTGTATCAGGAAAATTTCTATGTTTTGAATGTTTCGTCATAACTCGACGAAAAAAGGAAAAAATATCAATAATCCCATAAAAATCTGTTCTACCTTCTTTGCTCCCGGTGATACAAGTCTCGTAACCTCGGTTGGACTGCACTCAACGATCTATCCATACATTGTGCTGCAATACATCACGATTCTCAGGTTCAAAACTTAAAAAATAAAGACTTCATCAAATTCACGTAAATACACTTACTAAAAGGCGTACATATTATTTCCGTCAATATATCTAAAACATGCTATCTTCGTCCAACCAATCATCGACATAATTCAACATTGATCATGAAGAACCCCATACCCTTCGCTATCCTCTTACCATAGTTCTCCTCCGAACTCAGAACAAATTCGGTAGACTCAGTCAAAACAACAACTATCTCTTCATATAAATCTGAAATGAGCCGGACTTTGAATAACCTTTCTCATATAGCTTGCAATATTTTTTGGTATTCGTAACTCGTACTAAATATACTAAAAGAAGCACTAACGCTAAAAAAGAACATAAATGATTTGACTCCGACGAAAAAAGTTCCACGAGCAACCGGTGCTTATACTAGCGTTCGAGTGTTATTTCTCTCTGATGCACTACGTGAAATTTCTTGAATCCACCTCTAAAATTATTTGGTTTGGTTTTGCTCAGATACTCCTTCCGGTCCCTGGATTCACCAAATCCACTTAACACCTTCTCCTCATCCTTTTCTTATCTTTCCTACTTTTCTTTCTTTTCCTTTCTATCCTTCTCCTCAACCTTTTCTAATCTTTCCTACTTTTCATTCCTATCCTTTCTATCCTTCTATTGATCCTTTTCTTATCTTTCCTATTTTTCATTCCTTTCCTTTCTATCCTACTATTGATCATTTTCTTATCTTTTATATTTAACTTCCTTTCCTTTCTATCCTACTATTGATCCATTTCTTATCTTTCCTATTTTTCATTCCTATCCTTTTTATCCTACTATTGATCCTTTTCTTATCTTTCATATTTTTCACTCCTTTCCTTTCTATCCTCATATTGACCCTCTTCATATAATTCCTATTTTTCATGCCAATCCTTTCTATCCTATCCTTATATTCATTCTTTTCCTTTCTATTCTTATATTCATTCTTTTCCTTTCTATTCTCAAATCATCCCTTTCCTTTCTATCCTTATATTCATTCTTTTCCTTTCTATTCTTATATTCATTCTTTTCCTTTCTATTCTTAAAATCATCCTTTTCCTTTCCATCCTTATATTCATCCTTTTCCTTTCTATTCTTAAAATCACCGTTTTCCTTTCTATTCTTAAATTCATCCTTTTCTTTTCTATCCTTATATTCATTCTTTTCCTTTCTATTTTTAAAATCATCCCTTTCCTTTCTATCCTCATATTCATTCTTTTCCTTTCCATCCTTATATTCATTCTTTTCCTTTCTATCCTTATATTCATTCTTTTCCTTTCTATCCTTATATTCATCCTTTTCCTTTCTATTCTTAAAATCATCCTTTTCCTTTCTATCCTTATATTCATTCTTTTCCTTTCTATCCTTATATTCATTCTTTTCCTTTCTATCCTTAAATTCATCCTTTTCCTTTCTATCATTATTTTCATTCTTTTCCTTTCTATTCTTATATTCATCCTTTTTCTTTCTATTCTTAAATTCAATTCTTTCTATTCCTGTACTCATTGATAAAGTGATTAATTGCTTTATCCGTAAAGAACATCTCACTCATATCTTGTGATCCCTCATTAACCATAAACCACAGAATACGGATTAAATATTTCTAAAGGGATTAACCTATCAAGTTCTGACCTTTGATTTGACGTTGTGTAACCCTATTTAACCTGAATGATCCTGATCTGTGATCTATGTGAACTAAACTCCTTGTTTTCTCAGGAAAATATCAACCATTAAACCAGGTGTTTAATCATTGTATACAGACATTCAATTTAAACCAGCTTAAAGGGAGTGTTCGCGAAAAATGAAAGGGGGTATTGTAGCAGCAATAATTCGAGTCTAAATGAAACTTAAGAATGCTCGAGAATTATGACGAAAATCCGGTAACAGGAAAAACCTGAATCCAGGAACCAATCAGTCTCCTCCCTCAAACACGAGAACATGTACTCCTGGATATTAATATATGTTTATTTTAAATAGTTAAATGAAGTACAACCGTATGCAGTCAAAACATAAACAAACAAATTGTAAACATAGCAGACGAAATTCTTACGGATTACAGCTTTCTAAGTAGGTATCACTTTACTAAATTTAAGAATTATTTAAAAAGACGATATCGAATTCGTCACTGAACTCCCATGTTCATTGGGACACCCTGTATAAGGAGAAAATTGTTAAAAATGACTAATACCGAAGAACGTAGTGTCCATACAAATTCAGAAAGTTGCAACATTCAACTCGGATCGTAAACAAATCAATTTAATTCCAAACAAATCATTCAAAAATTACAAACAGTAGTCATCGATTATTTTTCGACGCATTAGTAAATAGTTGATATTTCATAATATTTTGTATTTTTCTTGATCTGGAGTTACTTTTGAAAACATTTATTCCTGTTTCGAGGATTTTTGATAATGAAGACGACATTTTCATATTTTCCTGGAAAAATCCAGCGCCAGAGAAAATTATTTAAAAAAAACAACATCAAAAATATTATGAAATATTAACTATATACGAATGCGTCGAAAAATAATCGATGACTACTGTTTGTAATATCTGAATGATTTGTTTGGAATTAAATTGATTTGTTTGCGATCCGAGTTGAATGTTGCATCTTTCCGAATTTGTATGGACGCTGCGTTCTTTGGTGTGAGTCATTTTTAACAATTTTCTCCTTATAGACGCAACAAATAGAAGTAAGATTAGTAGCGATCAAAAGCGCTTTTTTATCGCATTAAGCCTATGCCCCCTTTCATTTTTCGCGAACACTCCCTTTAAGTTTTTAGGGAACAGAGAATATGGAAACATTAACAATTTCTTTTTGTGCATGAAAACAACAAGTAATGTTTGACTCGAAATCCGATTTTCGATATAGTTAGAAGTACGTGAAACATAGCAATTGTTCAGTGCACACAGCCCATTTCATCTTCATTTTAACCTGCTGGTAAAATGATTCGTTCAATGTAAATCCACAAAAACAAACAAGAAATATCAAAAATACTGATAAATAGGCTTACATACTTCTTTTTTTTATTTATTTATTTATTTCGACCAAAAAGGTCAAATTATATTTTTTACTGGATTTCTTCCTTGCATGTGCATGTGCATGATATAAAGCTTGCTGAACATGATGTCAAACCACGTCAACTCAAACAATTGTCACAGTACTAATTTGGAAACATTTATTTTCTGTCAAACCAAACAATTGAATTATCATTAAATTACTTTTTAAAAAAATGAATAGATAATGAATGTTAAATTATTTATGGAAATAGAGAACAAATGATGACAAAACAGGCAGAAGATTGAAACCGTTTATCAAGGTGTGCCCACTGCTAGGAGTGGTAGTGGTGGTAGTGGTGGTTGTATTTGCGCATGTCAGTACAGTGCTAACAATATTTGAACCAGGACTCTCATTTCCAGCTTCATCAGTGGCTTTCATAGCAAAGAAATACAGATTAGATAAATCAAACTTCTCCCGCTTTAGGGTCAACTTAACCTGACTCCCGCCATTCACCGGGTTCAACACTCCAGATGATATATAGGAACTGTCCAGAACAGTGTTGTTCCCAGATTCAAACAAATTTCCTGTCAGATTGCCGGCTGTAAGAGCAAACTTGATTGTATAACTTTTAGCAGGTTCATTAGAATCCAGGTCATCTCCAGGAGCTGTAAAGGTTAGGTCAGGACCAGAGCAGGAACCCTGCAAAGGTTTAACATTCTTAATTTAAAAATTGGTAAAGTATGATTTTTATGCAGGGATCAGGTAGATAATTAAGGGATTTTCTCTATAAGATGTTTATTTTCCCTTAAATTAGATCATTGACACCTTCTTGAGATTGTGTTCGCAACCTAGTATCCTATCCTACAGTAATAAACTACCTGAAGATCCAGTACTCAGGCTGGAGGTAACCTATCCTACAGTAATAAACTATCTGAAGATCCAGTACTCTGGCTGGAGGTATCCTACCTACAGTAATAAACTACCTGAAGATCCAGTACTCCGGCTGGAGGTATCCTATCCTTCAATAATAAACTACCTGAAGATCCAGTACTCTGGCTGGAGGTATCCTATCCTTCAGTAATAAACTACCTGAAGATCCAGTACTCTGGCTGGAGGTAACCTATCCTACAGTAATATACTATCTGAAGATCCAGTACTCTGGCTGGAAGTATCCTATCCTCCAGTAATAAACTATCTGAAGATCCAGTACTCTGACTGGAGGTATCCTATCCTCCAATAATAAACTATCTGAAGATCCAGTACTCTGGCTGGAGGTATCCTATCGTACAGTAATAAACTACCTGAAGATCCAGTACTCTGGCTGGAGGTAACCTATCCTACAGTAATAAACTATCTGAAGATCCAGTACTCTGGCTGGAAGTATCCTATCCTCCAGTAATAAACTATCTGAAGATCCAGTACTCTGACTGCAGGTGTTCTATCCTCTCCAGTAATAAACTATCTGAAGATCCAGTACTCTGGCTGGAGGTATCCTATCGTACAGTAATAAACTACCTGAAGATCCAGTACTCTGACTGCAGGTGTTCTATCCTCTCCAGTAATAAACTATCTGAAGATCCAGTACTCTGGCTGGAGGTATCCTATCCTCCAGTAATAAACTATCTGAAGATCCAGTACTCTGGCTGGAGGTGTTCTATCCTCTCTAGTAATAAACTACCTGAAGATCCAGTACTCTGGCTGGAGGTATCCTATCCTCCAGTAATAAACTACCTGAAGATCCAGTACTCTGGCTGGAGGTATCCTATCCTCCAGTAATAAACTACCTGAAGATCCAGTACTCAGGCTGGAGGGATCCTATCCTCCAGTAATAAACTACCTGAAGATCCAGTACTCTGGCTGGAGGTGTTCTATCTTCTCCAGTGATGCTGGATTTGATCTGGAAAGATCCTCCAGATGATTGTCGAGTAAAGTTTCCAGTATTGGATAGACGTGTTGTTGGAAGAATAGTGTTGGATCCACAACACATAGGAGTTCCGGTCTTCTCAGGAAGAGCTCTAGATCTAAAAATAATATTGATGAAAAGAGCTGACTGACAACAATAATCTGCAAAGAAATTCAGTCTTTGCCACAAACTCTGATTTTCTAATCCATTTTGCTTTGCAACCTAATGTCAGAGACCTTTAGGTATTTATTATGAAAAACCAAGTAATCCAGGTTGCAAAGATATAGAGTTTAGAAAATTTGAGTTTGTGGCGAAAACGCTATTCCTTGCTGGAAAACAATATTAAACATTATTCTTGTTAATCAAAGGTTTTACATATATTAACGAATGCACAATAATGAAAAGTGCTTTACATATGCACTCCTTCCTAGTTTAACATTTTTTCCAGGGATAATTTTGTAACAAAAATATCAATTCAAAATAAATAAATTGTGAATGTAAATTAAGTTGATTCAAAACGAAAACATTTAATTACGTACAATGCAACAAGACAACAGTGCAACAAAATGTCTAAATTCCGAAATGAAACACCCAAAAAAATAGAAGTGAAAAAAGTCAAAATCTCAAAGTTAAACAAAAAAAATCAGATATTTCTTTTGGACCAATTTACAAATTGATTTAGATGCTAAATCGATTTATATAGTTTTCATACATTTTTGCTGCAATTGGCATTAGGTTTCCACCGTCAGCAAAAGTTTGCGCAATTTTTCAGTTTTGCGCGAATAGAGCGCAAATTGTGCAAAAGAATACCGTCAACTTAAACTATTCTTCATTCTATTAATTTTAGTTGAAGTTGAGCTATTTTTCCATTCTACTGGAAATCCCAAAAGGCTTTTTGTTATTAGACTTTTGAATCGACTCCGATGAAATGACTATGACTGTCTGACTCCGATGAAATGACTATGACTGTCTGACTCCGATGAAATGACTATGACTGTCTGACTCCGAGGAAATGACCATGACTGTCTGACTCCGATGAAATGACTATGACTGTCTAACTGACTATGACTGTCTGACTCCGATGAAATGACTATGACTGTCTGACTCCCAAGAAATGACTATGACTATCTGACTCCGAGAAAATGACTATGACTGTCTGACTCCGAGGAAATGACTATGACTGTCTGACTCCGAGGAAATGACTATGACTGTCTAAAACCCCAATTTGTGATTAAAACAGTAACAATCTTTATTAAAGAGATAAAATATATAGGGGAGAGGAAAATATAATGATCTAATAAGTTAATTAACCTGTCAACAATGAAACCTTCATTGATTTGTGTATCATCATTTCCCTCCACCTGACATTTAACACTGTATCTACCCTTACCTAATAACATATACAAGTTCAAGGCTATAATCTCCGTTTAATGTATATATGTATAATACATATCTAAAATTAACAACCAAAGTGAATTTGTTATTCCTTTATTATTTGCATGTTTTCAGTATACTTTGAATATTATTGATATTAAAAGTTTGATAATAGCAGGTTTAGAGAATTCTTAGACTTTTTATCATCATTTTTTATTTATTTGTTTTAATCTTGACTACTTCATTTTAACTTCAGATCAAAGTTAGAATTTTTAATTTTCAGATAATTGGGCAAAATTTGGAGGTTTATCTAGAACAAGGAGAGATATCCTCTTCAAATATTTGAGAATTAATGTATTGAAAGATCAATTAATGTATTGAAAGATCAATTAATGTATTGAAAGATCAATTAATATCTCAAACAAGAAATAATTGAGTTTGTCGTAACGTGCATAAAAATCCTAGCTCTATGTAGAAAAGAATTAGTTTAAACTATTCCGTTCATCTTAGACTCCTTATGCTTGGGGATATGCTCAAGCAGGGAGGTTTCGTCATGAAAACATAAAAAGATCCCAGTGTCGGAATTTAATGAATTTAAGCCACGTCTTTAATCCCCCAAAAACCGGTTTCAATTGTACACCATTAAACACTAAATGCTAAGATGTTATTCATTCTTTTGTTTTTATTAATAAACAATTCAAATTTTGTATTTTTAGACAGGAACTTTTTTAATCCGGAGTTTTTTCTTAAACTTTATATTAATAAAGGTTTGTTACTTGTATTGACAACTAATACAGCTTAGACATTTGTTATATCTAAATTAAATTTTTAAAAGATTATTGTCTTACCCGTGTAATGTGTAAAATATCTTGTATAAATACCATCGTTCTGAATACTGTCGGCACCTAAATGGAAAACGTGCTTTTTTGAATATAAGAAAGAAAGCCTCATTATTTATATGAATTTTAAATTAAATAATTATTAATGGACACTGGATAGTTTAAATATATCAAGACTTTTCTTTAATGAAATTGTTAACAGAAATTTAAATAAAAACTTTTTTGAGATAAAAAATGGTGATTAAGCTGAACTGATCTTACTCATTAAATTTAACAAGCCTTTAAATAATTTACCCACCAGCTCCGTTGTCCATTAGTTCAAGTTCCAACGGAGGTTGCGGAACTCCGGCAGTTTCCTCCGGTCGTTCAATATAGGCAATGACTTTAGCTCCTAGGACAGGCATATTCCCTTGCTTGACCTCCGCCATGGCGGACAGCTTGAGGTCAACCTCACTGTCAAGGGACTGTGATCCTGTATTAATCCAACATCTTGTTTGTATAGGATCCACATTATCATCCCTGGACTTACTTGTTATCTTGACAGATACTGAGTCATAGGTCTCCTTGGTAGTTAGCCAATATTGCCATTTACCAGCTACTGCAGTGTCTTTAAACTGGTAAAGATATATCCCAAAATTATCTGTTGTACACGTGAATTTTTGATCTATAATAACTTGAAGATCAGGGTTGTATACTTTTATTAAGAATGGTTCCCTGCAGTTTCCGCTGGCAGATCTACTTTTAACTATTTCTAGTTGAAACTTCAGGTCCTTTCCAATGGTATTGTCGATTTCGAAAACTCCTTTCAACTCTGTACTGTTGGCGGGCCAATCGTGCTGATAAATTGTCATCTCCGTATTTCCCAAGGTATCTCCGGGTTGATTGGTTGTGGAACCGGAGAATGCATCGTTAAAATCTCCAGGTCCGCTGTTATCTTCAACAAAGTAACTTTTCCCTCCTGTCTTCTCAGCAAGATCTTCAATCTCAGGATCAGCATCATCACCAATAGCAATAGTAATGACTCTGATCTTATTCTGAACCAAGCGAGGAATCATATCTGATATTGAAGGAGCACCACTTATTGGACAGTTTTGAGCTCCGTCCGTTAATAGGATGAGAACATTTCCTGTTGAGTTGTTAAGTAAACCTTTGTTGTACATTGCTTCAAACAGACCTATTGTAATACAAGTTCTACCTTGTGCTGGAACATCATCAATAATTTTCGTCAGGGTTGTCCTAGATGTTTCGCTTATGGCAGTCATATCAGAACCATAAATAGCGTTGTCTCCGAAGAAAATAATTCCAACTGGAGTGTTGTCTTCTACATCGTATGTGATCCATCTCTTAGCGGCATTCTTCATCGGAATAAATCTATTCTTCTCCTCCATTGATTTACTCACGTCCATAACTAGTACATAGGACGTTACATGTCCCTCTCCTCCCAATATAATGAATTCAGGATCAGTGTTTGTTATAGTTGGATTTGATGGATTATTGCCATTTGCAAAGTCCTCACTGTCTTGTATAACAGCCCATGTGCTCCGGCCAGAACAGTACAAGTTTTGTTTGTTTGGCAGGTTGGGTTCATGTAACAGTGCCTCTGTAAATAGATTAAATTATTTATGTACAGGGTTATACACAAAGGATGAGACTTCATAGATGGCTGTAAAAAATTTGAATTTTTCTGAAATCCCTACAAGTGGAAACTAGTGTCTAGTGCTTTTCGATGTCAAAAATGTGTATCTCGTTTTTTTTAATGATTTTAGGTCGTCATTAAAGTCTCATCCTTTGCGGGTGATCCTGTCCTTGTTTAATTAATGCAGGGAAAAGATAAAATCGTGTTGGGAAATTTGTTCCTCTGATATTAAGCTTAGAAAAAGGGCGAAATATAACAAGACCCTAGCTTTAAACAGTTTTAATATGTCATTGTATGCTCACAGTGATCGAATTAACTTACTGGTTTATTTGACTTAAACCATTTTAATTTTGTTGAAAACTTGAAACCCACTTTATCGGTAACATAGTTTAACTGAGACTGCAGTATTTTAGAGACAAATTTTAGGATTCATTTTTAATTCTAAGTAAGAGCGTAAATAAATTCGTTTAAAAAATTTTACCATAAGGGGTTGTTCGTAGAAGAAACCTTTTAAAACAATTATTTTTTAACCCGGTAGAAAAAAGTAGCTAAAATTTGTCTAAAAACTAATTTTTGTTGTTTAGAAACATATTTCTCCAAAGATATTTGTGATGAAATCAATTTGGTAAAATCAAATATTTCTTTATTTTCATTATTTCTTCTTTAAAAACTTTAAGTTTTTTAATAATCAAACAAGTGGAAGTGAGAGTATTCTAAGTAATATTTCCGTCCTTTAAATCTCTAAAATAATGACTTTACCTGTATCGTCACAGAAGTTTATGTTAGTTGTTAAATATGGTAGAGCCATATAGGAGGAGGTTGGTTTCGAATCTTGTGTAGCGTAGAATATACAGTTTCCATCAGGTAACCCTGAACCAGAGGAATCTGCTCTACACGCTCCACCATCAGTTACATCCTAGTGTTGTTGAACATAGAACAAAGTAATAAAAGAAACAAGTTTTGTCAACCTTGTGAAATTATCAAATGTGGTATTTCATTTGATGGGATGTGGATTGTGGAACGACTAAAAAATTTTCTGAACATTTTTAATAAATTATTTTTTTATTTTAAGGTCTCAAGCTCTCAAGCAAAAATTTAAAAAACTAAAGCTAACAACAAGAGTTTTATTGTGCCAAAATGTACGTGTAAAGAGCTACAGAAAAGCTCAAGTGAGTTAGATCGATAAAATCTAAGTCCATGGCGTTGCAACACTTCAAAGTCGACCCTGTCTTAAAAACTAATGTTACTTTTTATAAGCATGCTGAATCTGTGTGGGATATAGATATAAAAAAACAGCTATTAAAATTTGGTAAACAAGTTCTAATTAACGATTTTTTTTCACTCATTAACAGAATTTTCCATTTATTTGGATTAAATTTCGTTAATAATATGCCTATAGGCACAAATTTGCAACGCTAACCCAATGTAGTAGACCATTGATATTTCAAACTTTGGTTTATGTTCAATCAAATAATCTAAAAATCAAAGGTTTGAACCATCAGATTGCAAAGATACAGGAATAATTGGTTTGTGGAAAAACTCAGTTTATTTGTGTAAGGAAAAAGCTCATGTTAAATTTTATAAAACTTTCTCAAAGACCCCAGAGTACATTAATATCTGCTCGTATCCCCTGAGTACATAAATACCTGCTCGTATCCCCTGAGTACATAAATACCTGCTCGTATCCCCTGAGTACATAAATACCTGCTCGTATCCCCTGAGTACATAAATACCTGCTCGTATCCCCTGAGTGCATTAATATCTGCTCGTATCCCCTGAGTACATAAATACCTGCTCGTATCCCCTGAGTACATAAATACCTGCTCGTATCCCCAGAGTACATAAATACCTGCTCATATCCCCTGAGTACATTAATACCTGCTCGTATCCCCTGAGTACATAAATACCTGCTCGTATCCCCTGAGTACATAAATACCTGCTCGTATCCCCTAAGTTCACTATTAACACAAAAATTTGGAGTTACACTTGTCTTCTGACCGGACATCGACCATTCAGTTTTTAGATAAAACATCGGGAACTTTTTGTCTCCTGGGTAACCATGCTCTTCAAACACACCCCACCGTAGCTTAGCAAACTCATGAACCAAAGTTTTGCCTCTAAAACATATTTTTAAAAAACTTTCTATCTATCAGCACTTATTAAAAGTTTGTCATGTGCATAATGAACATCATAGAAATTTTAATATAACATGATAACTGGACGACGACATTGAAATCGTATCAACCAACATGGTTTTCTTTTCTGATAAAATTCAAGCTAATTTACCTTTAATATCCTTCATATTATAAAAATTCTCAGCGGCAACATCAAGTGAAATATTTTAAGACGACATTTTAAAAATTCCTTCGATGTATTCTGACATATGAGTTTAACCGTTAATTAGATTGAAAGAGTAAACATTGTTTACTGTTCCAATATTTTAAAAACATTATAATAAATTTTGATATTTGCATCATTTATGATGCGAATTTTTTATCATTAAATTTAAATCGAAACAATTCAGTGGGTATAATGTCTTCTTCTATTAGGTTTGTGGTAAACAGTTTATGGTTGTTTTTACTTTACTTACTTATTTCCCCAAACTGATCCATCTTTAACATATCCTGGAGTTAAATGAGTATACGTCCCAGGAACCCCACATTCAGTAGTCTAAATATTCATCAATATAACTAGAAATATAGGTATCTGTAGTCTAAATATTCAACAATACAACTAGAAATATAGACATCTGTAGTCTAAATATTCAACAATATAACTAGAAATACAGGTATCTGTAGTCTAAATATTCAACAATATAACTAGAAATATAGATATCTGTAGTCTGAATATTCAACAATATAACTAGAAATATAGATATCTGTAGTCTGAATATTCAACAATATAACTAGAAATATAGGTATCTGTAGTCTAAATATTCAACAATATAACTAGAAATATAGATATCTGTAGTCTGAATATTCAACAATATAACTAGAAATATAGGTATCTGTAGTCTAAATATTCAACAATATAACTAGAAATATAGATATCTGTAGTCTAAACATTCAACAATATAACTAGAAATATAAATATCTGTAGTCTAAATGTTCAACAATATAACTAGAAATATATGTATCTGTAGTCTAAATATTCATCAATATAATTAGAAATATAGGTATCTGTAATCTAAATATTCATCAATATAACTAGAAATATGTGTATCTGTAGTCTAATTATTCATCAATATAACTAGAAATACAGGTATCTGTAGTCTAAATATTCATCAATATAACTAGAAATATAGGTATCTGTAGTCTAAATATTCAACAATATAACTAGAAATATAGACATCTGTAGTCTAAATATTCAACAATATAACTAGAAATACAGGTATCTGTAGTCTAAATATTCATCAATATAACTAGAAATATAGATATCTGTAGTCTAAATATTCAACAATATAACTAGAAATATAGGTATCTTTAGTCTAAATATTTATCAATATAATTAGAAATATAGATATCTGTAGTCTAAATATTCATCAATATAACTAGAAATATAGATTTCTGTAGTCTAAATAGTCATCAATATAACTAGAAATATAGATATCTTTAGTCTAAATATTCATCAATATAACTAGAAATATAGATATCTGTAGTCTAAATATTCAACAATATAACTAGAAATATAGGTATCTGTAGTCTAAATATTCATCAATATAACAAGAAATATAGATATCTGTAGTCTAAATATTCATCAATATAACTAGAAATATAAATATCTGTAGTCTAAATATTCATCAATATAACTAGAAATATAGATATCTGTAGTCTAAATATTCATCAATATAACTAGAAATACTGGTATAATCTGTAATTCAATATTCATATATTACAATAGAACAAACCTGTACAGTGTACGGGCTGTCACCATAGGCAGCATTTTGGTTGTCAATCCTTGAAACAAGATAATCTTAATAAACAAGTTTATCTATTATCTTTTGTCAAAGTCCAACTTTATAGTTTAAATAATTATTGTTCTAATGGAAAAATGTGGGGCCAGAAAAAAAAATTAGAACTCCCCCTCTCCCCCTCACATGTGTAGATTGTACCAATTATTTTGGGTCAGGTCGGATTAACATAGATAGATATTATCACTCCCCCCTTCTTATGTGTAGTTTGTACCCATGCTTTTTTTGTTTGTTAAATTTGGTTAAGATAGATAGTATCACTTGAAGGGGGGGAGGGATTCCATGTTATACTTATTAATAAATTACCAAAATGCTTAACGACAATGATAAATATGAAGAAAAGGTTACATACAGGGTGTCCCAAAAAACATGGGAATTCAGTGACGAATTCGATATCGTCTTTTCAAATAATTCTTTGATTTAGTACAGTGATACCTACTGAGAAAGCTGTAATCTGTAAGGCTTTCGTCTGCTATGTTTACATTTTGTTTGTTTATGTTTTGACTGCATATACAGTTGTACTTAGTAAAACAAGAAAATCACAGTATACAAACAGAGTAAACTTGTCCGTCTTCACTGTTCATCTTGCGGAGACATTATAGACACATCTTATACAGTCTTTTACCCTTTTCATAAAATAAGCTATATAGCAGACATAATAATATTATGGCTTTTGAAATTAGGTATTACAATGCTAATTCATAACAAAGACGATATCAAATTCGTCACTGAATTCCCATGTTTTTTGGGACACCCTGTAGCAAGAATTATTTTATGAAAGTTCTATTTCCAAACTCATTATACCTGAATTCTGCCAAATCATAGGATTCGTTTTCGATTGGTTGTGCCTCTGGATAGTTCCAGGTCTTGGGGAGGAGAATCTTTACAGTTCTGTAGATTTAGAAATCAATGATATTTAAATTTCGGTAGATTTACTAATGAATAATATTTTGCAGATTTATAGAAATCATTAGTATTTAAAGTTCTGGAGATTTAGCAATCAATAATATTTAAAGTTCTGTAGATTTAGAAATCAATAATATTTAAAGTTCTGTAGATTTAGAAATTAATAATATTTAAAGTTCTGTAGATTTAGAAATTAATAATACTTAAAGGTCTGTAGATTTAGAAATTAATAATATTTCAAAGTTTTGTAGATTTACCAATTGATATTTTAAAAAAAAGATTTATAAAACTTAAAATTGTTGATAAACTTATACCTGAGGTAAGCTCTTTTTCTAGTTGCTATGTAAAGTTCTCTGCTCATTTCTCTCATCATTATCTGCAATTTAAAGAGATGTTTTAAGTCAATATATCAGAGAACTCTTTACAAACAGAAAAACAAGGATATCTCCTTAATATTTAATCAGACAAAGATTTAAAGGTTACCATTGTGCCTGCAGTCCTCCCTTTCAATGGAAATTTAAAGATTGATTATCTGGATATTTAAAGATAAATTACCTGGATATTTAAAGATTGATTACCTGGATATTTAAAGATTGATTACCCAGATATTTAAAGATAAATTACCTGGATATTCAAAGATTGATTACTTGGATATTTAAAGATAAATTACCTGGATATTTAAAGATTGATTACCCAGATATTTAAAAATAAAGTACCTGGATATTTAAAGATTGATTACCTGGATATTTAACAATAAATTACCTGGATATTTAAAGATTGATTACCCAGATATTTAAAGATAAATTACCTGGATATTTAAAGATTGATTACCTGAATATTTAAAGATAAATTACTTGGATATTTAAAGATTCATTACCTGGATATTTAAAGATAAATTACCTGGATATTTAAAGATTGATTACCTGGATATTTAAAGATTGATTACCCAGATATTTAAAGATAAATTACCTGGATATTTAAAGATTGATTACACAGATATTTAAAGATAAATTATCTGAGCTGACAACTTTAGAATAGGATATCCTTAATCCCAATTACTTAATCTGAGTATCCAATGGACACACTTTTGATTTTCTTCTTAAACCGTTCTTTCTTGGATATAATGGAAAAAAATCAAAATATCCGGTTTTTTAAATTTTTAAAAGTTAAAGATAATGATACGCTTATTGGTTGAATTTTATGCTTCTTTCTTAGACACCGAATGCATATTAAACTAATCTCGGGTTTAGTAAAACCAGGAGTTTAAGCATTAATCTTGATATCCATCATTCTAAAGTTTTCTGCTCTGGATATTTAAAGATTGATTACCCAGATATTTAAAGATAAATTACCTGGATATTTAAAGATAAATTACCTGGATATTTAAAGATTGATTACCCAGATATTTAAAGATAAATTACTTGGATATTTTAAGATAAATTACCTGGATATTTAAAGATTAATTACCTGGATATTTGAAGATAAATTACCTGGATATTTAAAGATAAATTACCTGGATATTTAAAGATAAATTACCTGGATATTTGAAATGGTATCCTGATCTTGAGATACATCTGGGGATATTGCAACCACAAAGTCTGTGTATCCATTATTCTCAAGAACTGCTTTACTCTGGGTATATCCAAAGAGAAGAATAAAGCCTAGGATATAAACTTGTTATAGTTGGGTGATAATCAAAATGGAATCTTTGTTTTAAATTTGCTAAATCAATGCTATCGAAGGTTTTTTAAAACGATTTAAATAAATTTTTTAATTGCAGACACACGGGATAGAAAAATACTAGCTGATAAATAATTGATAAATAATAAATTTTTTGTTTTGCTTTAAAACAATTTAAAATGAATTCTTACAAGATGGTATAGTTCTACTCCACAGTAGCATGATTACTGTTCTTTTAGAATCCGGGTTTTCATTTCATATACTCAAGCTAATCTCTCTCTTATCATATCAGTCCGTCATAATTTACAAAATTATACAGTGTCAACTTTTTTCATGATATTTTAGGGTCACAGCCGTTAAAAAGGAAATCTGGAACATATATTACTTCACCAGAACTCACATTTTTTGCAGCGTAATGGTTGGTAGCTTGAGTTATTAAAATTCTACGACATTAAATAGATTGCAATAATATAAAGATTAGAAAATTTGAGTTTGAGGCAAGTAGTATTTTTTTTTTCAGAATTTTTGCTGAATCTTACTAATTATTACTGATTCTCCAAAGCAAATTTAGCAATGATATCATTTAACTATAATTCTCAGGAAGGAAAAGATATGAAATTCCTGAAGCGGGTCAACAGCTAAAAGGGGTTATCGCAATGAATGCGCAAAATAATAGCTTGTTCTTTTTTATCTTTAATCAAATTAACCTGAGAAAATCTAATTGTATCTGGTATTGAATTTTGCTTGTAGGTTTATTGTTGTAATTTCATTGTTCAATTTTTTTATTTTTCTTAAGAATGAAACTAAGTACAAAAAGATAAGACACCTCTTATCGTTTTGTGCAATAATGTTCTTGGATGATCAAAAACATATTCGGGTTTTCATTGAAAAATTCAAATGTATTAAAATAAAAAATGTACATATTGGCTCATATAGACAAAAATAGAATATATAAATAATTATAATAATCATAGGCGCAACTAGGGGGGGGCTTATACAGTCTTTTACCCTTTTCATAAAATAAGCTATATAGCAGACATAATAATATTATGGCTTTTGAAATTAGGTATTACAATGCTAATTCATAACAAAGACGATATCAAATTCGTCACTGAATTCCCATGTTTTTTGGGACACCCTGTAGCAAGAATTATTTTATGAAAGTTCTATTTCCAAACTCATTATACCTGAATTCTGCCAAATCATAGGATTCGTTTTCGATTGGTTGTGCCTCTGGATAGTTCCAGGTCTTGGGGAGGAGAATCTTTACAGTTCTGTAGATTTAGAAATCAATGATATTTAAATTTCGGTAGATTTACTAATGAATAATATTTTGCAGATTTATAGAAATCATTAGTATTTAAAGTTCTGGAGATTTAGCAATCAATAATATTTAAAGTTCTGTAGATTTAGAAATCAATAATATTTAAAGTTCTGTAGATTTAGAAATCAATAATATTTAAAGTTCTGTAGATTTAGAAATCAATAATATTTAAAGTTCTGGAGATTTAGCAATCAATAATATTTAAAGTTCTGTAGATTATTCTGTTGAAGATTAGAATTTAAAAAAAATCCTTTTCAATCTTATCATGAGTCTATCAGACGCAATTAATGACGTCACGATTTTATAATCTTTTCAAATTAATATTCTAGAAGAAATATTTATCTCGTTATTTCCCTGTAAAGTTCAGATAGATAAATATGTCATAAAAGATATAATTACAGGGAGTAAATATTGGTGTGGTAACAGTTCACCCAATTCATGTTTCACCCAATACTACGTTTAACCCAAATTACGATTCACCCAACAAATGTTTCGCCCAAATTACACTTGCTTAAGAGTTTCACCCAATTTTTTTATTCCTCTATCATACATTGCACTTGAATTTATTGCCCAATTTCCGATCATAACTCATAAACTCCTGGACCGAGTTGCCTCAAATTTTGATTGAGGAAATCAGGAGAAGCATGGGTTTCTTCTGAGATTGGTTAAAAAATTATAATCTGAGTGGGTCGACTCATATATACAAGCAAAGCTGGGGTCAAATATATTAATGCATATTGTTGTAAATTTTTGTGCTCGAAATCTGCAAACCACATTTGAGCTCAACATGGCGGCGCAGTTCCATGTAGCTAATTACAGAAATGTTCAAAACGGAGGATAGCTTGGCCAGGTCCAAGCTACAAGAGCTGGTTACAGTCAGACGTGCCGACCCAAACCGATCTAGAACTGAACGTCGGTCAGCCCAGATGGCAAATCTTATTGTTGCACTCCAATCCTTCAATCCCAACTAAATCAAGCAGTTCATGTTTTGACTCCGAGAGGATGCCTAACTTGAGCAGTACTAGAATAGAATATCAACTGTGTGTTAGAATACAGTTCTTTCATGTTTGGGACAACAGAAAGTAGAATTTAGTTAGTGAGGTAAAATTAGAGAACAAGGCGTTGCGACCCAGTCATAAAAATTTATGATACTTTTCATAGAAGTCTATATTTCCGGCTTTATGTTGCAATGCAGCTAATATGCATATTGCATAGCTCTGTTACTTATATCGAATTTCAACTAGCCAGGACAAGCAGTACAGTACAAATCCTGACCACAGTCTACACAGACTGCTTATCTCCTTTCACAGGGTGGGCTACGCCTAAGTTGACCCGGCACGACAAGCTACGTTTTTACGATAGGTTTTTAGAGTGCCATTTTACGGCCACTTGTTGAATATAATACCCATTTAGGGCGCTACGATAAATTTGCTCTATTTCCGTTTGCTCTATGGTCATTTGCTCTAGTTCTATTTGCTCTATTAACCATTTGCTCTATAGCTCATAGATCACGACGTTTGCTCTATATGTCAACTGCTCTATACGTCAATTGATCTATGACATAACACGTCATTTGCTCTATAAACATATTTATATCATATTAATTTTACAATTATATTTTTACAATTTTACATTTTACAATTCTTCCTACAGTTTCATTATATTCCGCCAACTTCCTGGAGATAGTTTTGTTTGTCTGGTATTTGTGCATATTGTGAGACCAGTTAAATATTAACATTTCCTTGTTCTTTGAGTATTGTTTCCTAGAAGATTCAAGACATCTCCAGTACTGATAGACAACCTGTTTGTTTAGAGTAGAATAAATATAGTTTTCACCACATATTAGGTTTTTTTTACCCCTCTTATTATTGAGCAGTCTCGCTGTCATGATGGACTTTGAAGAACTGATGAAAACTGCAATTTGCGAATTTTCCCGCATTTCATAGTCAAGTTACGCTCAGGAATTCCAATAAAATCTATTTAAAAGTGTATTTTTATGTTATAGAGCAAATGACGTGTTTAGTCATAGAGCAGATTGAATATAGAGCAAATGACGTATAGAAAAAAGGACGTATAGAGCAAATGACTTGATAGAGCAAATGACCATAGAGCAAATGGAAATAGAGCAGATGTCGTAGCGCCCCCATTTAGGGGTTAAGTTTTACAACTTTTAAAGAAATACTCCAATTTTAAACATGAAACATGCTTAACATTTATGAATTCAGTCTTTTTTTGAAGATTTTGTGTTTCGTATCCAAAGGATCCTTAAATATCCCTGAATACAGATGTTTGCTGATTGGTCGTGTACAGTACTTGTACACAAAAGAACATGCTGTGGAAAATATCGCATATTTTAGCTGATAATCGATCTCTGTAACTCTCTATCTCTGATACAGACCATTATGAGGCAAAACGGGATAGCACGCTAAATGTACGATCCCCTTCTAGTGAAATTTATGTGATATGTGTGATTTATATCATCCCTTTTTTGTCTGCGAAGATTATAAAGTGTAGCTAATATTATAAATGAAAAAGTACATTTCAAAGGAATTGAGTCTTTGCCACAAACTTTTTTCTAATCCCTAAATCTTTGCAGCTCAATGTCGTAGACATTAGATATTTCAAACTATATATTCTGTTAGATTAAAAAATTTAAGTATGAAATATCAAAGGTTTACACCATCAGGTTGCAAAGTTGTAGGGATTAAAATTTTTAGTTTATGACAAGGACTCAGACCCTTTGTAATTCAGCTTGACAAGCTTATCTCTTTTATAAGTAAAAAAAATACCGAAATTACTTTTACTCTAAGACGACATTTAAACATATTACGATTTTAATTAGCTTAGAATCTAGATACTTCGTATAAACTATAGAGATTTGTGGAGAATATTTCTTTTAAAGCATAGAAAATCAAGTCGTATAAGAAAGTCGACATTTGTCAGAGGCCTACTGTAGGAGGGGAGGAAGGCCAACCACAACAGACAACAGTGATAACCTAAAAACTCTGAAATAGGAAGACGACTTTATATCATTACCAAATTGAATCACTAATTGAATCATTGAATCACTAATTAAGTGAAATTGATCTGTTTACGTTGCAATATTTCTGTTTCCCATGCTTATAAGACTATTTAAAGTCATGACTTGAATCTAAAAGTCGTCTTCCTATTTCAGAGTTTTCTGGTTATCACTGTACAGAGCATATTCATTATTTCACAAATTTAAAATTTGTTTGCGAAAATCCAATAGTTCATTTGTGCCTTATATTGCTCCAGATTTTCAAAACTATTCTTATCTGCAAGGGTTGGACATTAAAAAAAAAATATTCTAAGGACGAGGATTTCGAGGTGGCTCTGACGACAAAATGAGGAAAATGTGGCTCGGAGGAGAAATTGTAGCAGACAAGGGGTAAAATAGATTTGAAGTTTAGAACAGAAACTTATTCTTTATTTATGCGTTCTAGAATTTCCAATCCGTCTATCTGTGGTTTCTACTTGCATGTAATTACACGCAAATAAATCTAATATCGAGCAAATTTACAACTCCGACGAAATTCCTTCCGTTATTTTAGGTTCTAAGAATATTTAATCTTATTTCACTTAAACGAACCCCTTTAAATTATAACCAAAAAAGGTATCCTCTTTTCTATATATATACTTCGCTTGTCTGTTCTGTCTGGGTGTTTGCCTGTTTGTTTGTGTCCAATAAACATCAAAACGACTGAACCAATCCGGCCCAAATTTGTTTGAGACCTCCCAGGACCCCAGGGAAGGTTTATTGAAAGCCACGAAATTATTTTTATAAAATCCGTGAACTTTTTTTGTTTTTGTTTTACAATGTATACAAAGAGAAAATGTTCACAATTGAAATAGAAGATGGGCGCAAAGCGCTCTGTAAGCCTAGTACTTTATTAAAGGAACTTCCACATTTGTGCTGCAGAGACAATTGAGGAGAAAAACGGGAATATCTTTCATATTATTGATCAGATAAAGGTTTATAGAAGACAGTTGTGAATCAAGACTGAAGGGTCACTTGAAGTTACAAAGACAGTCCCTTTAAGAAGAACAATAAACAATTTACTTTGAAGTTTGCAGCATTCAGGGGCGTAGTCAGGAATTTGTCCATTTGGGGGCTTAGACTTTTTTCTTTGCGGGGGGCTCAGCACTCGTTGGGGCCTGAAAACCCCTGAAATCCATAGATTTTACTGGTCCAGGGGGGGACTTAGCCTCTATAACCCCCCACCCCTGAATACGTCTCTGACGACATTAATGTATTTAAATATTTATTCCTATTTATTTCTTTTTATTTCTATTTATTTATCTATTCTGTATGGTTTACGGTATTCTATCTATATTTTCTAGTAGCTTTCTACATAAACTGCAACCCCGTGATCAGAGATAAGATTTAGGATATTTCCATTATCAATACTTTGGTCATTAGTTTTAAAGGATACCTTTGCAAATCCTTTATAACGATCTTGATAATAAAGTTTCTAATTAGAATAAGTTATACTAAAGTACGAAAGAATTACTTTTTTTCCGACATTATCCGGTCAATTCTAGTTTGTGCACCATATATGCTTATACCTGCCTAAACTTCATTATCAGCCTGAGACCTGGTGCCTAGCTGCCTGAATAATACCTTAGTTCATTATTACGTCAGTCTTGTTTTGGAGCTTGAGGCGTCAACAGCCGGATACTTGTCTTGTAGATAGTACAGAGTGAACAGACGCCTTTCTAAACCAGTTTATAATCTTAGTCATACGATATAAAATTACCAAGTTATATATTTAAAGTTGCGTTTATACAAATAATAAAGTAGTAAACAAATTAGGCTATGGAGTATTACATGATATTTTTTCATATGTACACTGGATCCTGGGGATCGATATATTCCCTAATAAAGAAGAACGGGCTCAGGGAGCATTTAACGGGAATATAATACCACAAATTGAAAAGTGCAAAAAGACATGATTTGATATGAAAAATATATTTCATTGAGTCCGTATCGTGTATTTTATGGTAAAGATAAAATAAAAACTGCAAAAACCCAAAAAATAATTCTATTTTTATTTAATGAGATAAACAGTTTAAACCCCTCATATTACTGTTTCCAATATAAAGTTGTAAGTACGAGAACGCTGAATCTCCTCTAAAATACTTAGGCAAATATTTAGAAAACATCTACGCTGCAAAGAGTGACTAAGCCCATGACTAAGACAGGGTTTAATAAATCAGTTTTCAATATTGCGTCATTTTACTTCATTAACCCAGTCGTCAACAATATTGCAACATAAAATTAGGTTTTATATAAATCAACTAATAAATAATATTTCTTTGTGTTTTGATAAAAAATAAACCTAATTTTGGTGAATAATGTTGTTATCTTTAATACAGCGGGTGGTAAAGATAAGGCTTACTAACAGCTCTAGTGTAATATCAAATATGGAAGTGAAAAAAATAATGAAAATAAAATTTTTTCGTAAGCATATTTAAATTTTTAAAAACAATTTACTAAAATAAAATTCATTTAGCTACTGTATTGAATCATATAATAGAATGCTAATTTCATTTGTTAATAGATAATTTAATCCGATAGAGTGATATAAAAGATAAAAAACTTTTTGATATCAAATCTATTGTCTGATATAAATATATATTTTCAGAGTCGTCTCTAAAGACAGTACAACCCTTAATAGAATATACGGAAAGGTGTTTAAATAAACATGGCTGGAGGTAGGTTTGTCAAATTTTAATTAAAAATTAAAAATTTGTATTACAAGTAGAGATAAACGAAATAAAACTTTTAAAGAATAATTATACATTTCTTAGTTCTGATAGATTGTACCTTTATCAGTCCCGCTAAATATATATACCTTTTTTAGTCCTGTTAAATGTTTATGCCTTTTTTAGTCCTGTTTAATGTTTTAACCTTTATCAGCCCTGCTAAATGTATATACCTTTATCAGTCCTGTTAAATGTTTATACCTTATCAGTCCTGTTAAATGTATATACCTCTATCAGTCCTGCTAAATGTATATTCCTTTATCAGTCCTGTTAAATGTTTTTACCTCTATCAGTCCTGCTAAATGTTTATACCTTTATCAGTCCTGTTAGATGTTTATACCTTTATCTATCCTACTAAATAAATGTTTATACCTTTATCAGTCCTGTTAAATGTTTATACCTTTATCTATCCTAGTAAATAAATGTTTTTACCTTTATTAGTCCTGTTAAATGTTTATACCTTTATCAGTCCTGATAAATGTATATACCTTTATCAGTCCTGTTAAATGTTTATACTTTTATAAGTCCTGTTAAATGTTTACTTCTTTATCAGTCCTGTAAAATGTTTATACCTTTATCATTCCTGTTAGTGTTTATACCTTTATCTATCCTGATTCCTGCTAAATATGTATACCTTTATCAGTCCTATTTAATGTATATACCTTTATCAGTTCTGTTAACTGTTTATACTTTTATCAGTCCTGTTAAATATTTATAACTTTATTAGTCCTGCTAAATGTGAATACATAGATTTATTTATAAATTTATTTCTATAGACGGTTGGTCGTCCATTTACATTCACAGAGGATTATGTGGAATATCTTTAAAACAACAATGTATATCAATAGGTAACAAATAAAACTTTAAAAATAAATTTTCCTTAAAATTGGTTAAGATTTACAAAGTACAATGAGAACCAGAAAACTGTGGAGTGAATATCTTCTGTATTCTCTCATTTTACTTAAGAAATGTTGAGGATTTTGAAATTTGAAAACTTTAAAAATGAATAACTTTTTGATAGAAATTAGGACATTGAGAATTCCTCTGTTTTCTGTTTCTCCATGTTTTCGATTTTTATATTTTTCCTGAAGATTACAAATATAATTATATAAACCATCTCATGGTTCCTAAAAAACTGTTATTTTCAGGTGTAACATACTCAATAATTGCTTTCCTCAGTATCATTGGAGCAAGGTAGAATTGAAGGAGGAGAATGAATATAATAATTTGATCGTTATCTAAGAAAGCTGTGACTTTCAGTTACAAAGTTGGACTAAGTTTCACATTTTCCCATTTATACTTTTTTGTATATTTCAAATGAAAAAGTAAAAAAGAAAATTCTGCTTAATGATGATTAGATTATAGACAAAAACGCAATTGAATTTAAAAAGAAGAAATCGAACGCATCTCGCTCTGGTTAGTGCAGGGTGGGAGGGGGGATGATGGATGTTTGTATTTACATCTGTTTCAAAATAAAACGCACCTGCAAGATTTTTCATTCCTTGTTGACATGGTTCAAATTATTTTATGATTTTTTAATCATTGGCATTTTTGTATAGATTTGTGACTCGGTATTGACAGTATTTATTTAATATATAATTCTGATTTTATGTTTAGTATGATGTATTCACAGTATTGACAGTATTTATTTATTATATAATTATGATTTTATGTTAAGTATGATATATTTACAGTATTGACAGTATATATATTTATTTAATATATAATTCTGATTTCATGTTTAGTTTGATGTATTCACAGTATTTACAGTATTTATTTATTATATAATTATGATTTTATGTTTAGTATGATATATTCACAGTATTGACAGTATTTATTTAATATATAATTATGATTTTATGTTTAGTATGATGTATTCACAGTATTGACAGTATTTATTTAATATATAATTATGATTTTATGTTTAGTATGATATATTCACAGTATTGACAGTATTTATTTAATATATAATTATGATTTTATGTTTAGTATGGTGTATTCACAGTATTGACAGTATTTATTTATTATATAATTCTGATTTTATGTTTAGTATGATGTATTCACAGTATTGACAGTATTTATTATATAATTCTGATTTTATGTTTAGCATGATGTTACATAATCCAACTGGATATTTACCGCTGGGTAAAATTGCAGTTGATGGATCTAGAGAAAATATCAGGAATGTCGTCTTTTATTTGTATTTTTGTCCCCCCTTCCCAGTTACATATGTATTCGGAAATATTTCTTCTGATATTTACTTGCTTATGGTAAATTTTTATTTTTTATTTTTCAGAAGAATAATTTTATTTTAGCCTAAATCAGAAATCATTCAAAATAATAAAACATTTAATATTGAAAACATCAAAACAACTTGTTTATAAAGATTATTATGGATTGGTTGTCAGCAATACAAGTTTTAAAACTCCAATTTGATGTCATTTTGTTTAATTATATTAGACTAAGTATATTCTTAACTTAAGAATGTTTCAGGATAAGTCACATAACAAAAAATTTTAAAGGTTGCATCGTTTAAAAAATCGTACAGAGCTTATTAAAATAATTGCCCGTGGAAAATGCATGTTTTCATTGAATATTCTGTGCACAATTTGGCCTGACATCTTGTTAATAATCAAATAGGATATGGAACACTTTCTATTTCAAGTGTTTAAATATTTTTGATAACTAAATACGGAAAAATATGATACTTCTCAAGTGTGAATCAATTCGAGGATGGTACTCAAGAATCTACAATGGACGAGGTAGAGTTGTTTTTATTTTTTAAATAAAAAATTGAAATTTTTGCACATTATTTTTTAATCATAATGTATTTTTGCACTGTGCGCGTGCTTAAAGATTTTTTATTGCACTGTTTGATAAATTAAGAGTGCAGCTAGGAATAATATGAAAAAAACTAAATCTAATTAACATATTATTTCCTTAAAACAGCTGTTTTCCAAAGCACATGAAAATTATTAAAATTAACTTTTTCAGATCGATGAATTAACCAACGAAGCGTTAAAAGAAATCGGAGCTAACGGAATTGAATGTAAGTTTTTGTCTTTCATTTCATTTTTCTGATCAAGTATGAACTAGATATCCTTGTTTTTGTATTTAAAAGCCGATTATTTTCATTTGTGGGCTGTAGCTCCTGCAGAAACATTACAATGACTGCTCCTTTAAGTAATGGAAAAACAATTCTAATATTTTTATATAATCTATAAATCTGTCAGGGAGTGGCGAATGTCCCCCCGCCCTCCCTCCCTGTATCCGCCCCTGACAATGGTTTTTTATTGTCTCCGGGAAAAACGCTGTAATCATTAAATAATTTAAAGATTAAAATTTTTGAATAACTTGCTTTTGATTTCATCCATTTTTATCTTTTTAAAGATTAAACATAATATGCGAAAAAAAATAAACGAAAATTCATTTCATTTTAGTCAGATATTTTTCCCGCTTTTTCCGTTCTCCTGGAAATTGTTAAGGAGAAAATGGGGTTTTCACACTCTTGAATGTAAAATATTAGACATTTGAGGCGTTATAAGGGCTTAAAGCTTTACCTGAGCTTATAATGAACCTCGACTTTTTTGAGATTGTAATGAACTATGCAATAAAAAATAAGAGTTAAAAATCCTTAAGAAATAGATTTGCAAAAGTCAATTTAGGCGCACGCCAGTACTAAATGATTCTTATAAAATTATGTCTTTATTCAAACTCTAATCCCTTTATATGTTCAACCAGAGCTGGGAACTTTAAAATGGGATACCTTTAATCCCGACTGCTTAATCCGAATATCTAATGTGGACACTTTTAATTTCTTGTCTAATCCACTCTTTGTTGGATAAAGTACAGAAAAATCAAAAACCGGTTTTTCAAAATTAAAGAGTCCCTCACGTTTCTGTATATAGTCTTAAATGGCGCACAAAATTTCAAATTTCCCGGCTTCTGATACCCGACTCTGATTGGTTAAATTTTATGCACTTTTCAGGATACAAGTACAAGGTTAGGTTAGTCTCGAGATTAAGAAAAAGAGAGGATCAAGCATTGATATTTCAACCTTAGATTATTTGATCTAATAGAATTGATATTTTGGAATATTTAGGCATTGGGTTCCAAATAAATAGGGATTACAAAAACAGAGCTTGTGGCAAAGACTCTATTCCTTTATCATTAAATCATTTTCAGGAGCGAACTGTATTTATATTTCCCTGGGTGATAGTATCTTTATTAACGACTGTAGCAAACCTGATAACTTTCATTGTTAAAATATCCTCTCCAGACTCTGTAACAGTTGCTAAGGTACCTCTTTATTCCGTGGATAACTCCCTTTAAAATATGGATATTATTGCGATAATCAAGTGCATGCTGGACCAAAGCTAAAGTTCTGATTGATTTAAACATGATTAGAAGGAAAAAATTACTAGAAAAAAACTGATAAAAATTCCCTTTCTTTAAAAAACTTATGCTAATGGATACCTGTTTCCCGTAATTTTACAATTTTTAAATTATTACAAAAATATTCAAATATCTAATGTTTCAGCCAAAATTTAAGATACAAATCTCAAAACTAAATTCTATTAATGAATATTAAACATTATATCAATTGTAGGTTTTCTCTGCTATTATGTACTTTTGCATTGCTGGATACTTCATCCTTAGGTGAGAAATTAAATTGATGTTTATTGAATATAAACCTTTAACTAGGATCAGGCACAAGAAACCTTCACAACGTTGTGCATCGTGTTTTTTCAGAGAGAATTATAGAGTATATAGATTTATATAATATATAAATATATTTCTTGACATTAACGTTTTTAATTTCAGTGTGTTCTCCTACTACCAAATTCTCAAGATTAGGAAGAAAAAAGTCATTACGTTTCTTGATCAGGAGTTCCAGGGGGGAGAAGGTAGGTTTATATATGTTCCAGGGGGGAGAAGGTAGGTTTATATATGTTCCAGGGGGAGAAGGTAGGTATATATATGTTCCAGCGGGGATTAGGTAAGTTTATATATGTTCCCGGGGGTAGAAGGTAGGTTTTTAATTGTTCCAGGGGGGGATTAGGTAGATTTATATATGTTCCAGGGAGGAGAAGGTGGGTTTATATATGTTCCAGGGAGGAGAAGGTATGTTTATATATATTCCAGGGAGGAGAAGGTAAGTTTCTATAATTTCAAGGGAGGAGAAGATGGGTTTATATATGTTCCAGGGAGGAGAAGGTAGGTTTCTATATGTTCCAGGGAGGAGAAGGTAGGTTTATATATATTCCAGGGAGGAGAAGGTAGGTTTCTATATGTTCCAGGGAGGAGAAGGTAGGTTTATATATGTTCCAGAGGGGATAAGGTAGGTTTATATACCAATGTTCCAGGCGGAGAAGGTAGGTTTATGTGTTTCAGGGAGGAGAAGGTAGGTTTATATATGTTCCAGGGAGGAGAAGGTAGGTTTATATACATATGTTTCAGGCAGAGAAGGTAGGTTTATGTATGTTTCAGGGAGGAGAAGGTAGGTTTATATATGTTCCAGGGAGGAGAAGGTAGGTTTTTAAATGTTCCAGGCGGAGAAGGTAGGTTTATGTATGTTTCAGGGAGGAGAAGGTAGGTTTATATATGTTCCAGGGAGGAGAAGGTAGGTTTATATACATATGTTCCAAGCGGAGAAGGTAGGTTTATGTATGTTTCAGGGAGAAGGTAGGTTTATATATGTTCCAGGGAGGAGAAGGTAGGTTTTTAAATGTTCCAGGCGGAGAAGGTAGGTTTATGTATGTTCCAGGGAGGAGAAGGTAGGTTTAAATATGTTCCAGGAAGGAGAAGGTAGGTTTCCATATGCTCCAGGGAGGAGAAGGTGGGTTTATATATGTTCCAGGGAGGAGAAGGTAGGTTTATAAATGTTCCAGGGGGAGAAGTTATGTTTATACACGTCAAATGTTGAATTAACAAATTAAAAAATGTAAATATATTTTTGTTCAGGAAGTATGTATCATACCCTAGAGGAGGAGGGAGGGGATGACCCACACTTCTCTCAGTATTCAGGAATATAAATATAAAATAATCTGTGTTTGTCGACAATTCTAGATTTTATGTACAGGGTGTCCCACATCATATTATATTGTTTATGTACAGGGTGTCCCACATAATATCATATTGTTTATGTACAGGGTGTCCCACATCATATCATATTGTTTATCGCTCTAATTTAATATTTAAGGTACTAGTCAGAAAATTAAAATAGAATAAATCATCAAAAAAAAAAATGTATTAGGCTAATATGAAAATTTTCTTGCAGAAAATACCAGGTTTTTCGAGTGTTTTGTGAGTATTTTGACGTTAATGCTTGGAGATAATCTAATTTGATATGGAACGCTGCGCTTCTTGTCCCAATAATTATGGGAATTAAGTGACGGCACTTTCACAGAGACGTTTCCCGTAAATACGGTTAATTGTAGAATTCCACTTTGGCCAGTTTAACTCTCCTAGTCTTGGGATTTCCAAAATGTGGTTCGCCATTTTAATAATCTCAAAATTGACGGAGAAATATGGAATCTGTCCCGATTTCAGTTTAACAAATGAAATCATATCTGTCTCAATAGCAATGTCTCCGTTAATCTTAAGAAACTTAATCGATATATATAGAGCACATATGAAAGCCTATTCATTAAAAATTGTTAATTGGGACACCAAATTATCATCTGATGTCATTATCATGCATGACAAAACAACTGAAGGTTAAAAATCTTCCTCTTTTAAATAGTGTAAACTTTTAAAAAGATCTCTAAACGTTCATTTTACATGTTTCATCCTTTAAAATATTCTTAAAGTAAAAATAATATTTCTATATTAAATCAGATATTCAAACCCCAAGACAAAGCTCACATCCTTGGGGTAGACCTACCACACCATACACAGAGAAGGTATCTCCATAGAGAAATATATAAACAGAAATATAATATAACTTTTAAAGATTTAACAAATCTAACGTTCCTTTAGCTTTCCGCGGTAAACACATTTTTTAACCGAAGAGACCATCTCGCGAGCCTCAAGTTTGATGAAACTATAATTAACTAATTTAGTTAAAAATCCTGATTTTAATTTCGTCCAAGAAACCTGAAAATTAATCAAGATGTATGGTTCTAACTTTATGAGCGGTCTTCTCAGTTTCAACTACGCATCTTTTTCATTTTCATTTTTTATACATAAAACTGCAAACTGAAAACGTAAAATAAAGAGACCCTCCATAAAAATATGACAATGCCTGATTTACACCCTTTAAAGGGAGTAACCGGCAATGTATGGTGGTTGAACTTAATTTGTAGCATTGTGTTCAAATTTTATAGGATTTATTTGAGACATTAAAAACTAAAAAACGACGTATATTTACTGGTTTTGAGCGTAAGTCGACCTACAAAATTATCAATTTGGGTGGGTACGTTTACAGACTCGAGTTTTCTAAATTATTAAATAACGACAACAAAAAATGTAATAAAAACTAATTTGATGTTTACAGACATATTTCTCAGGGCAATAAGTCATTGTTAGAATCAATTATTTCGTTTTCATCATTATATTAATTTCTTATTTTCTTAACATTAGCAGATTTCTACAAATTCTTCCAATGTCGTCTTTCTATAAAAATCCAGAAAATCTTTGTGAATAATGAAAGGTTATAGAAACTGATAATTAGATTTTTCGATTATTATTATTTGCTCAACCTGTAGAATTTTTGTCGTCGTTTTTTTTAAGTAAAAAAACAAAGATTCTCAAAACGTACCCACCCAAATTGATATGGTTTTGAATGTCGACTTTGCGCTCAAACTCAGTAATCACAGATCTTTAAAACATTTATATATCTCAAACAAATTCTATAATTTTCTCGACAATCTTCAACCACTATACATTGCCGGTCACTCCCTTTAAAAACGTAAATATTAACACATTTCTTAAATAAAAACAGCTTGCAAATCAAGTCTTTGACAATAACCATTGTTTCTGTATATAAAAATTCGTCCGACGAACGACATGTCGTTGATCAGTCAAAGGTTTCCTGTGAATTTGACATACCAATCTATTAATGAGTCACTTGAAATTAAACCTTAATTCCAGTTTACCACAAATTTTCAGTCAGAATTTAAGAAAAAATCTCTAAGAAATTGGACTGTTAGCTAAATCCAGAGACGAGAACTTTTGAACTTTAACAGAACTAACTTCAGGAATTCTCGGCCAAATAAGAAATAAACATTAGATTTCTCTAGTAACGGTTTGAGTTTTAAACATTCAAAAAAGTAAAATAACGAATTTAATAATCATTATATACAATAATCAAATACTTCAAACAATGAGCAACTCTTTATCAGCTTTAAATTATCAGTAATTAAATGTACTGTTCAGGCTGTACCTATGACTGAAGAAGAAGATGTAGGAAATGAAAATGTACTGTTTGCTAAACTGTAAACTGTAAACTGTAAACTGAACCGCATTTAATTAATAAATATTTTCTATTGTATACACTTCTGTTTATTTACAATTAGAATTTACAGACATATATTTAAATATAAACCTGGATAGATAATTCCTCAAATATAAATTGTCAACATAATAAAAATAACGACAACTGGGGAATATTACTGCTGTTTGCATTCTTCAGGGTTCCCGGACCTTAAACAAGAAATTAATCTTTATTTTATAAGATTTCTTTACGTTACGAATATAAGAAGACGACTTTCTAATTTAAGCTGTAATTGTTAGCAAGTTCTTCGAATTACAAATTTACAAGAAATTAAGGAGAAGCTTTTTTATAGACAGCCATTCCTTGTTTCCATGTCTTTGTGTATTCTTGTTGTTTAAAAAATTGATATAAATTAAAATCAAAAGTCGTCTTTATCATATTGATATATTTGCCAACCACTCTACGATAAAAAGTTTGAAGAAGCTATTACTCTCGATGAGAATCGTAATAAAAATCTTTGTGACAAGTGTCAAATTAAAAATCCACAAAGCTTTATTATTAAAACTAGTCATTTCCCAACCGGTCCAACATTGATAAAAGCTGACATATCTCTTATTCATCATATTTTTATAAAGACACGTTTGGCGCAATTTACAAATATTTGGTTTTATTGTTAAAAAACTTTATTTATTAAATTAAATTGAAAACCAATATGTTTACAACTTAACATACATATTCGTAGACCTTTAATTTTTAATATTCTGGTAGAATTTGGCAAAATTATGATTAAAATATACCTTGTTCCCTTCTTAGTCCCCCTGAGAGAAACCCCAGTCCTAGTCACAACTCCAGACTTCAGGTCTGCTCCAGCCTAAAGACAAGACAAATATTTAATCAAAAAAATATTATTGATCAATAACCCTTCCGTGGATATCAACAAGCAACATGTCACTAGGCTAATGGCTGGAAACCATTTATCGCCTGGACTGGTTCAATTCCAGTCCTGGCGACACTGGTTCATTTCGGTACCAGTCCAGGCGACACTGGTCCATTTCGGTACCAGTCAAGGCGACACTGGTCCGTTTCGGTACCAGTGCAGAGTGCAACTGTCAAGTTTATTAAAATCAATATTTGATTATGTTAAAAATTATCACATGTTTAATTAGAGCATCTAAAGGATGATTATAAAAAAACATCAGATGGTAAAACTCATAATTAACCAACAAATCAGATAGAAGATGGCGAAAAACTCAATAAATGTAAAGAATAGGATTCTAGGAGATATTACAAATTGACTTTTTTCTGGTATGTAATATATACCATGTTTCTAGTCAATAACTTCAAAAAGAAAGATTGGTTGGGTGGTTAATTTGATAATCAATAACTTCAAAAAGAAAGATTGGTTGGGAGGTTAATTTGATAATCAATAACTTCAAAAAGAAAGATTGGTTGGGTGGTTAATTTAACAATCAATAACTTCAAAAAGAAAGATTGGCTGGGAGGTTAATTTGATAATCAATAACTTCAAAAAGAAAGATTGGCTGGGTGGTTAATTTGATAATCAATAACTTCAAAAAGAAATATTGGTTGGGGGGTTAATTTGAATAATGAAGGCTGTGAGTAATAAGTATTTATTTTATATTACCTTGTGTCATACATTTGAAATTCTTTAAATCCTCTTAATGATCGTATGTATTTTGATAATTGCCCCCTCCCCGCTCCTTACCCTGAAGGGAGGAGGATAGAAGGGGAGAGGAGGGGTGGGGGGTGAAAAGAGTATGAACTCTTGAAAAATGATATTACCTCTACGGTTGGTTTAGGTTTTCTGATCGGACTGTTCGTCAGATTATTGAAGGCCACCTTCTCCAGGGTTGGGTTGATTAGCTCAGGTTCACCAGGAGTACTTAATCCAGGTTTCCTTTTCTCAACTTCAATATCCTTCCCCTGGACAAAACAGAGTTAAAGAAATATATGATTTAAAGCCAATTTATTCATATCAGATTCATAAGAAGCTCACAAAAATGTTCAGACCCTGAGTTAGATTACTAAGTTCAGAATGACGGATAATATCCATGTTTACCTGGTCAATATTCTCCTTACTAGGACTAGTATCCTGAGCTAGATTACTGAGTTCAGAAGGACGAATAATATCCATATCCATGTTTACCTGGTTCATATTCTACTTACTAGGACTAGTATCCTGACTAGATTATTGAGTTTAGAAGGACGGATAATATCAATATCCATGTTTACCTGGTCTATATTCTCCTTACTAGGACTAGTATCCTGAGTTAGATTACTGAGTTTAAAAGGACGGATAATATCCATGTTTACCTGGTCTATTATTCTCCTTACTAGGACTAGTATCCAGAGCTAGATTACTGAGTTTAGAAGGACGGATAATATCCATGTTTACCTGGTCTATATTCTCCTTTCTAGGACTAGTATCCTGAGCTAGATTACTAAGTTTAGAAGGACGGAGACGAGTTCTATTCCCGGATACAGGAATAACACGAGCAGGACTAGCAGTGTCTAGAGATAATTCAATTAATCAATTTATCTACAGAAAAGAGATTTTAGTTCTTGCTAAACAAAGACAGAGAGTAAAAATATTAAGCTTTTCGCAGAAATTTATTTCTAATACATTCAGACTAAAACCAAATCAAAACAAAACCTGTATTTTTGAATTTCAATCTCTTTTCCTCCTCTTGGTCCTCCTGGCTCGAGTTAGAGAGAGATCGCTTACCACTTAGGTCCCTGGAAAAAATATTATTTTTGATTATAATAAATTTCAAATTTAACATATAATGGCAACCTGGTTCAGCTAGTCGAGATTAGCTTTTAGTTTTGGGAGAAATAAGCATATTTAATAATTAAATTTGATCTTTTAAAATCAACTTAAAATGAACAAATACAATTTGTCCATTTGAGTTGACGCCTGGCGCGTAGTGGGGGGGGGGGGGGGAACCCCTGTGCCCCCCTAGAGCCAGAGGCAGGCTCTAATTTATTAAATAGTAATCTTATATATATATTCAGATTTTTTACTTTTCTTTGACTAATAGTCGAGTAATATATGATTTTAAACTTTATTTTTTTCTTAATACCGGTTTTTAGGGGGGTGTACATTAACCATCTAATCAAAACTATAACTAGATGAATTAGGTACGGACTGCTTCTCTAGTAGGGCAAAAAGTGCACTTTTCATAAAATCCTAGCTCAGCTCACTATTTAGAAATGCAGAATAAGCGATAAACAAAACTGTAGAAAAGTAGATTATCTGATTTGTTCGTAGCACCTACCCTGTATGATCCGCTGAGAATGAACTCGTATTGCCCTGTTCCAAACTAGAGGAGTCCAGAGATAAATTAGACTTGTTCCGCTTCGTTATCATTCCTTGAATAACAATAGACTCGTTTGCGATCTTGGACGCGCTCCTGTTACTTCGTCGTAGTATAGATCCCTCCGGTACTGTGCTCGAATTCGAACCACTTTTTCGGGATTTCGGTTTGATTTCGCGAACTGGCAGCTGGGAGACACCAGATACTGATTTCAAGACTACGGGCGGAGGTTTAAATTTGGAAATATTGGCCTCAGACTTGGAAGACTTCAGTTTCGAGGTTTCAGATTTGGAGGATGTTTTCTCAAGTACACTTGACTTTTCATCCTCAAGTAGGATGACTTTAACCTCAAGATCTTCATTTTCAGTCTTCAGTGCTCGAATTTTCTCTGAAAATATTAGAAAGGTTTGAAGGGTCAGAAATATCTTTAACTTGTATAACCTAATGAATTTTTGTATTTAAGTTACCTGCGCACTTAATAAGTTCCTCTTTACTGGATGTTATTTTCTTCTTTAGTTCTTCTATACAGAGTTTAGCCAACCTGGCCTGCTGGGCTGGGACCAAATCACCTTTAAAAGAAATTTTAGAATATTGGATCCCAATAAAAATAATACATTGACTTGTAAAACCTTTCCTAAGGAACACAGCCAAAACTAAATTTTTCTTAAAACCTATTCTTTGTTGAAATTATCCATCTTAATTTTTTTCTTTTCTCCGTTTCCTCTATTTTTACCCCCTGGGTTTCCTCTTCATATTTTACCTATTAGAATACTGTAGATATCAGTATAAGATAATCCTTCAAACTCATCAGACTCCCAGGGATCCTCTACAGCCTGAATAAAATTTAAATAAAGAAATTAAATCTAAAATTTCGAAAGTATTCCACATTGAGTGGCCAAAATAAATAAACTTTTTTTATGTTCACACTTTTTTCTGCTGATGGATAATGATGAGAAACCCTACCGCTTTGGCTTCTTTATGGAACTTATCCATGTCCTTCTTAAGACTGTCAACATGTTTGAGAAGACGGTTTGAGGTTTTTTTCAAATCCATCTTCTCCGCTTCAATCCTCTCTAACTTAATCTCCATCTCTGCAAACTGAACAAGAATTCAAATCAAAAATAAGTCTCAGAATCTAATGTCAGCGTAATCAAAGAATGTGGCATTCCAAGCTGAACACACTTCAAGTCAAAATTTATAATTCTTGAAAACCAACAATTCTAACCGTCAAGCACATAGAAATTAAGATTTCAAATTAGTTTTTTTTTCAGCTTATAACCAATAAATCAGAGAATTACTTTTCATAAATTTTCACCTCTTCTTCTCGTTTCTTTGCATTGAATGTGATTAGTTCAAGTTTCTTCTCAAGCTTAGCATCTGCAGTATTTGGCCTAAATAACAACAAGTTAAGCTTTATAATTAAATAATATTTATATTTTAATAAATCAAATCGCTTACTTGTCCTGATCTAGTTTGTACTTGTTGAACTCTGCTTCTAGGACGGAGAGAGTGGTTTCTATTTTCTTTTTCTCTTCGCTCAGACTGGTCAATTCCAATTGCAAACTAAAATAGAAACGGATTTTATGAGTCTCTCCTGGGGTATCTTCCACAATAGACTAAGAACACTATTCGATGAGTGGAATTTGTACGGCGGGCTGCGGGTGTCAGTCAATACTTGGAAAGCCGAAGCGTTTATTCTCGACCCCTAGGGATGATTTTCAGAGACTACTTAGGGGGGGGGATTGGGGCTAACGCTCGTACATTGGGCGGTAGAGCTTCCAGCCTCAGCATTTTGGAGAATTGGTTCAGGATACCTTATATATAGTTACTATGAAGTTACTCGGCTATATTTCCTAAGGTTTAACCCAAATTGTTGCTAAGTTCATGTCAAGCTAGGCATCGAATAGTTTTTGCAACTGGGAAATGACAGACTTATTTACCACTATTTTAAACCCCATCAAACCCTAATAAAAACAATTCTCTTAGGAATTTAAAAAATAGGTGAAAAAAGGCTTGTTTATAGTAAACAACCGAAATTAACACTATTTTGTCTTTTAATTACCTTTGAATCGTGTTGTTAAGTTCAGATTTTGCAACTTTCTCCTCCTCCATCTTAGACTTCAGGTTATTCTTCTCTTTCTTCATTTTATTTAGTTCAGTTTCAAGATATTCCTTTTCTTTCGTCATCCTTTCCTCGACCTCTTCTTTTTTCTTTTCCTTGTCTACTCTTTCCTCCTCTATCATTGATTCAAGATCAAGCTTTTCCCTCATTTCCTTTTCCAGGTTTGTTTCGAGGTTTAACAACTTTTCCTCATTCTTCGTTAATCTGGTTTCTAGAACATTCTTTTCCTTCTTTAGCTCCAGATCTTCCTCTTGTAACTTGTTCAATTCTTGTTTACAATCTTCTAACATCTTCTCCTTCTCCTGCAGCTCAACCCTGCTCTTAGATATTTCGTTCAGATTGAGCCTGGACTCCTGGTCTAGTTTAATCTCTAGATCAGTGATAAGGTTATCCTTCTTCTCCAACTCCTGGTTCAAGGACTGCAATTCTTTTTGGAGAATCTGTAAAAAATAATTGAATTAAAGATTTTTAGCACTCTCAAAAACCTTGCTCAAAAAGTGTTTTACATTCTTTAGGAACTAGATATTAAGCATGTTTAAATTAATTATTGAGGTTTGTTTTTCAACAAAACAAATGAGTAAATCTACCTTTTCCTTCTCTTGGATATCTTCCTGTTGATCCTTCATCTTCTTCAACTCAATCTCAGCATTAATCTTCTCATCCTCCATTCTCTTCACCACTATCTCCATCTCCTCCTTGATTGTCTCCAGCTTAACCTCCAGCTCTGTCCTGATCCTGCTGGCCTCCGCTAGGTCTGCCTCCATTTTGGCTCGAGTAGAATCATTCTCAATAGACTTAATGATATCAAGCTTTTCCAACTCAATCCGATTCTTCTCATCCTTTACAAAATCCTTTTAAAAACAGTTTCTATCCAAACTTTCCGGTATTTAGAGAAATGAAATGGAAAACAAGTTTTGAACAAAAATTGTTTGATTAACTAACCTGAAGATTTTCGTACTTTATCTTCTCCTCTTCTATATCCCGGAGAAGAGAATTAATCTTCTCCTTGAGAATATTCTCCTCCTTACTCCAGGTTTCCTGAGCAAAGAACGTATCCTGTAGTTTCTCACCCATCTCAATAATATCTTTCTCCTTTTCTGTATTTTCAGCCTGTAATTCTGCAATTTCATTTTTAAACCTCGTTTCAACTTCAAGAATCTTCTCGCCCATCTTTAATTCAAATTCAGATGAGCTGCTGTTTAGTTCTTCAATCTGGTTCAACAAGGTTTTGTTCAGCTTTGTACAAGTTTCAAGTTCAGTCTCCAGCTTCCTCCTTTTATCCTCTGCCACAAGTTCAGCCTGGTTAACGGATTCAAGTTTGGATTGGAGAGAAACTATCTCATCCTTAAGTTCTTCTTTTTGAGCTTCAACACAATCTTTTTCCATGTTAGTCTTTGCTAAGTTTTCTTTTAAGTCAGAAACCCTTTCTTCCTCCTTCTGGAAATGAATTTTGTCCTTAGAAAAATTTTATTTTGGGTTTAGACATGTCGAGGTCAAGCCAGGTCAAAAGTCAAGAAAGGTCGATTTTTGTTAGAGATCAAAGTCAGCTCAGATCAAGTTTCTTAGATAATCTCTTTTTACCCCCCCCCCCCACTGAATTTTTTTTAACGGAAAGAACCCGTAACAAGTCAGACATTTTATAATATCTCTATAAATATTAATAGCAGCAGGTTGTATTTTTGATTGTAGACTCATATAATTGTGTCAAAACCCCATAAGTCGCCCAGGAATTCTCTGGTCTCAATGCAGGCCAGGGTCCATGGTTAGTTTTCAGGTCATGTATTGGTAATGAAATTAATATACATTACCTGAAGTAAATCTTGATATTTTTCATGTTCAAGTTTTAGGTTCTGTAACTCAGACTCCATTAGCTCTAGCTTCTCCTCCTGCTCCATCCTTTTCATGACAAGGTTCTCTTGCTCCTCTCTGCTCTCCTCCAATTCATCCTCAACTTTCTTCAACTGTAGACTCAGCTTCTCACTTTGGGCACTAAAATGTAAAATGTACTTTTTAATCTAGTTTCCCATTATTATATGTAACGCAAATTAAATGAGCAAAACAGGACAGCCAGGAAACAAGAAGTTTGGAAAAATGATTATCTGCATTCTGCATTAAATACATGTATCAAATAATATGTTTCATATAAAAAAAATAAAAAAAAATAAATTGATAAAGTTAAAAAATATGTAACGCAAATTCAATATACCTTTTTTACACACAAAATTCAAATTATGAAACAGATGAGCTTTATTGGATTTTCCTTTAGATGTAATACCTGAGCATATTTCTCTGTTGTTCTCCAGACTGAAGTTGAGCTTGATACTCAGACCTGATTTGATTTATCTGATCCTTGTTCAGATTTTCATTATCCATCAGAGAACTATTCTCAATCCTACATTTTAAATTAAATCAATTTTAGATATTACGATGCAAAAAATATGAACACACTGATAAAACAATAAAATTATTTTACCTTAAAGTGTCTATTCTAGCAATAAACCCCTGAATATCTCCAGCCTGCTTATCCACCTTTTCATTCAATTCGTTCCATTCCTTCTCCATCCTCTTCTTCTCTGACCTGAGCTCAACAACCTCTTCTTCTATCTCAGATAAATAATCAGATTTCTTCAGCTTCTCCTCCTCCAGGGAACATAACACGGAACTAAGTTGGGTTTTCAGGCTTCCTAGTTCATCCGACTTGATCTCTAGTTCTCTCTTAAAAGATTCTATTAGAACAGTCTTCTCTTCTCTCTCTCCCATAACCTTCTTCAGCTCAACGGAGTTCTCATGAAATGTTGCTTGAAGGGATTCAAGCTCAGATTTGACCGCTTGAAGATCTGTTTTAAGATCATCTATGTTGGTTTCCTTTTCAGCAAGTTGTTTCTGTAAGGTTTCAATATCTGCAGTCTGGTCAGACACTGCTGATAATGCATTGCTCTTAACAGCTAGTTCACTCTTACACTCATCCATGGAAAGTTTCATCTTGTTTATCTCGTCACACATCTTCTCAATCTGAGTTTGCGCGGCATTTAGTTGGTTAGAGAGTTTAATTCTCTCCTCCAGAGCTTCCTCTAAACCCCTAGCTACGTTCTCATGATCTTCTGCCTTTCTTTTCATTGAGTTTACAGTTTCTTCAAGTTGTGATTTAGTGAAACTTAACTCCTTCTCGGACTTGTGAATCTGATCCTGTTTCTCATTGAGCTGTGCATTAAGATTTGAAGATGTTTCACAAGCTTCTCGTCTTAGGGTTTCAAGGTCAGAGGTTTTGTTAAAGAGTTCAATTTCAATTTCCTTGAGACGGATTTCTAAAGAATGAATTGTTCCGTTTAACTTCTCAGTTCTGTTCTCTGCAGATTCTAAGGATTCAGCAGCGATCAGCTTATCTTGCGACAAATGCTCAATGGTTTGACAAGAAGACTGAAGATTCATCTTGGTTCTAGACAACTCATCTTGACTTTGATCAAGAGTTTTCCGTAAAGTCTCCAGTTCACCCTCAAGCTTTTCAATAGTATCTTTATTTGCCTGAGTTTCAAGCTGCAGCTCTACCATAACAATATTCTGAGAAATATCTTTGGATTGTTGCTGATCTGATTCTTCTTTCTGGAGATTAGAGACGGAGTCAAGCGTTGATCTTAACTGATTCCTCTCCTCGGTGAGATCTTGAGTTCTAAGTGTGTTCTGTTGTATCTCATCCTGCAAAGATTTGGTTTCCTGAGTGAGGGTTTCCTTAAGCTCAGTGAGTGCAGAATATTCACAAGTTTTCTCCAGTAGTTCTTGTTCCAACTTCATCACCCTATCCTTCAGATCATTAATAGTAACAACATCAGCTTTACTACGTTCTCTCAATATGTCAAGCTTTGTCTTGTCTTCTGAAAGTAGACTCTGTAACTCAGAGATCTGATCATTACTATACTGAAGTTGACCGTCTTTTGAGGTCAATTTAGAGCCTAATTCTTCTAGCTGAGACTGCATGTTAGAAAGTTTAGATTCTAAGCTCTCCAACTCGAGATCTTTCTCATTTAGGGCAGTTTGCATTAAATCAATTTCTAGAACTTTCTCCGAAAGTTCTTTATTCAGTTCTTGGACCTTAGTTTCCTGCTCCTCGTAAATATTCTCCATATCATCAAGGTCATTGTTCAACTTGGCAACAGTTGATTCTAGTTTATCTATCTCTTTCTTCAGATCACATTCAGAAGATACCATCTTCGATTTCTCCGCAATGACCAACGCGAGTCTGGACTCTAAATCATGAATTTTCGTCTGAAGATTCTGAACAAAACAATTTTGCGAAGAACCATGCTCTGAAACCTTCTCAAGTCTAAGTTTAAGATCAGCTTTCTCCGATTCCAAACCTTGGACTTGAATCTTGAAAAGATGTATTGAAGATTCTGCCTCTGAGCACTCGGTTTCCAAAATCCTTTTCTCTACTTGGAGGGTAGATATTTTCTCATTCAGATCACAGGATTGTGATTCAACTCTTTTCAGCTCACACCTACAACATGCAGAGAAAATAGAGAGCGGACACAAAAGAGATAAATAAAGGAACCGAGTCCTTGCCTTGAATTCTAATGTTTTAATCCCGAACTTTGCAACCTCACGGCGTAAACCTTTAATTTGTCAAGCTTGATCTAGCAGAATTGTCAGTTTAAAAAAACGAAGAGATGCAAACATCCGGTTGTGAAGTTACAGAATTATAAAATTAGAGTTTGAAACCAGTAATCAGTTTCTTTGTCAGACATTTGCAAAGCCGGAAATACATAATTGCCCCATTTTGTTCATTATTTCATAAGATTTTCAGAGGTACCAATTTTTTTTTAATGGAGGGGGGGGGGAAGGGTTGGCTTTGACATGTTAACATTTTGTTATTTTGGTCAGTGATATTTTCGGGCAATTGTAATTTTAAAAAAGTTTTAATTTTATCAGCCAAAATCTTGCTTTATTTTGATCGTAATAATTCTAAACAAATGCCTTTTTTTATTACCTAAGGTCAGCTAGTTCTTCCTCGAGGATATCATGATCTAAATTCATATTTGCTAACCTCGCTCTTTCAACTTCAACCTGAATAAGGTTCTTAATCAAATAATCTAGGAATATAAGTCATACTGTAATCAAAAAGGTCGAGCATTTTTTTGTAGTTTTAGTCAAGACTCCATTACTTAATAGCCCTCACACAAGTAGGTTTTAGTCGGCAAGTAATTGTTCCACATTATCTAGGTATTCTTCAGTAATGTCCTTTGATATTTTCAGTAATGTCCTTTGAATTCTTCAGTAATGTCCTTTGGTATTCTTCAGTAATGTCCTTTGATATTCGTCAGTAATGTCCTTTGATATTCTTCAGTAATGTCCTTTGATAGTCATTCATTATTATTTTTGTTTTTTAAATATTCTAGTATTTCTTGGTCATTTTGTTATTTTTTATCAGACACATTCTTGCTCTTACTTCCAGTATTTTTGTTAGTCTTCTTTATTTTTAGTTGTTCTTCTTGTGTGTTACACATTGTTTAATTTTTACTGATTGGGTTTATGGTTTGTTATTTTGTCATTCAGCATCAAAATGAATAACAAGAAGAATGGCAGTTTAATAAAAAAGTCATTAAAAAGATATTTTAACAAGTTTTCACCTTTTGAAGGTTTTGAAGGCAAGCATCTAACTCTTGACGATGAGAATCTTTTATCCTCTCCAACGAGGTCTCTAAATCAAAACACTGAGAAATCTTTCCTTCCAACATCTGACCAACCCTGCTCAGCTCCTCCTCTAATCCTTTCTTGGACTCAACCAACTCGGATATCTGGGTTTCCAGACTGATGATTCTGGGTTCAGTTTCTTCTTTAGTTTTTTGAACTATCTCCTCTAATCTCCTAGAAACTTCTTCTAACGAGGTTTTCTCTCGTTCAACCTTGTCTAGATTACTCTGAACACTGACTAACTCGGAACTAAGATCGGCATTGACCTAAAGAGAACATCGTTTTACTAATTTAGAAATGGTAAATTGCAAAATTTATTTCTAAAAAAATTAATGGGAAAAAATCCGCAAAAGTTTACATACAAAAAGTTTAAATTACATTCGTCAGTTCCATCTACCTGTTCCTTTTGAAGAAGAACGGATTTCATATTGTTTATGATCTCTAGGAAATCTCGTTTCTCCTTCTCCAACTCGTTTAAGGACTTCTCCATAGCATACTTCAACCCCTGAACAGTAGACGCGCGAATGAACAAGCACGGTTAATATTAATAGTATTGTTAAAATTTATTTTCAGATAAATAACAGAAAGCTGATTTTATGTTTTTATGTTGTCTTTTTTTCTCCCAATAAGAGAGAGTGGGATATGGGGGGGAATCATTTATGAATCATACATATTTCTGAAATAATATGCAACATACCTGAGATTCTTCTAACTCTGCAGAAACCTTCTCTAGAGCTAGGTTTGCTTGTTGAACCTGATCCTGGAGATCAGAGAACCTTACCCGTACATTCTCCAATTCTTCCAATCTACATTCACGCTCATCTACAAAAATTTATCGTTTATCATTCACAATATTTAAAAATAAAGATTATAGAGATTAATTCTAAAATGTTCTAATCCTAATTTACCTAGAGTTGTTTTAATATTTTCTATTTGTTGGGTTAGTTTTCTTGTTTCATCCATCTTCTGCTCCAATTCTTCTCGAGACCTTCCAAGCTGATCCTCAAGATCCCTAATCAAACTATCACGTTCTTCTTTAACCTCCTGGAGCTGGGTTTGAACCAGACTGTGTTTCTCCTGGCTAGTCTCCAGCTCTTGCTCCAGGGTTGATTTAGACGCTGAGACTTCTTCGAGTTTTATTTTCAACTCTACAAGAGATTTATTGGACTCTTCATATTCTTGTTCTAGTTGAGCTTTAGATTCATAAACAGACACCAGAGCTTTAGATTTCTCTTCTACCTGAACCTGAAGGTTAGATATCTGAAGCTCAGCTCTCTCCACTTCGGTTCTTTGGACATCAACGATATCAAGGTAACGCTGCTCACTTGTACTGAGTTCAGTCCTAGCACTTGCTAATTGATCTGCAATACCATCCTTCTCCTCTTTGAGCCTGTCTATAGTTGATAGCAGGGTTACTAATTGATCCTGAGTTTGTTCTCCATCAGATTCAAGTTTCAGACGTTGAGCTTTCTCTGCCGAAAGATCAATCTCCATTTTCTCAAGTTTCCCAAGGATATCTGATGTTTTGGTCTCGAATGCTTCTTGAATCCCTTCTTTTTCTTTGATTAGTTCATCGCTAAAAGCCTCAAGGGACTGTATTTTCAGTAAATATTGGTCGCATGACTCATTTGCTGAATCCAGAGCAGCCTTACCTTCTTCCACCTGGATACTCAGCGTGGATATATTCTCTTCCAATCTTGATTCATTAGTTTCTATTGAATCAAGTTTACTCTGGAGATAAGAGATATTTTCATCTCTCTCTACAAGCTTTCTTGCTTGCTCATCTATGGTACACTGTACATTTTCCTTCTCTAGGTTCTGTTTGTCATACAGAGCAGAGATGCTTTCTTTCACCTTAATAACATTTTCCAGTTCTTCTTTCTTTTGCTCTAACTGGGTTCGTAAGTCTGATAAGGTTTCTTCCAGAAGGTTTAGTTTGATTCTATTTTCTTCTTCACATTTTTCTAATTTATCCTCGAGTGCGTCCTGCTCTGCAATCAATGTACTTCTCTCTTCACTACTGATCTCTAACTCCCGAGCCTGACTTTGAATTCTGGTTAACTTATCTTGTAAGTCTTCTTTCAGATCTGAAATCTGAGCATTCGCATTGTTGTTCTCACTTTTCAGAATAGATATTTGCTTGATTTGTTTGTCTAGCTCCGACTGACAAGTATCCAGGCTAGATTCAACCTGAGCCTTCTCCTCCTGGAGCTCATTAACCTTGGAGTTGGATTCAGTAAACCTGGATTCAAGATCTTCATGCATCTTTATGGCAGTTGAGTATTCCAATCTAGATTTATCCAGTTCTTCACATGTTCGGAGTAATTTTTCTTCCATTTCTGCAATATGCGCCCTTTGTGTTTTCTTCTCTTCTTCAAGAGAGTTCCTGAGATCTTCTACAGTTTTTATTAAGGTTTGGGTTTCAGTTGCTCCCTCCTCCAGCTTCTTCTCTAGATTAGTAATCTCCGCAGTTTTGTCGGAAATAACGGATTCTTGTTCTTCTATTTTTGAAGCAGATCCAGATTCAGTTTCATTCATCTTTTTAATCTTATTCTGAAGTTGATCAATCTCAGACTTAAGATCTGTTATATTGGAATCCTTGAGCAGAATTTCAGCAGCAGTCTTTTCTTTTTCTTCTTCGGTCAATGCTAGTGTGTTCTTCAACTCTTTTCTTTCTTGAGAAATGGTTTCCAGTTTACTCTTGGTTTCCTTCAGTTCGGTTTCTAGTTCTTCACGTTTCTGTGTGTGTCCTAATATCTCGGTTTGAAGGTTCTCAACCCTAGAGGAGTGCTGAGAACAGGTCAGGTTTACCCGTTCTAGTTCGGACTCCAGGTGTTCTATACTTTCTCGCTCTTTGATCAAACCCGACTCCTTCTCCTGCAGTTTAGTTGTGAGATCTTCAACCGAGGATTGGATGGTTTCAAGTTGCTTGGTTAGTTTCTCAGTCTTACTTCTAGATTCTTCAACTTCCTTTACAGCAACCTGGAGAGCGGATAAGGTACATATAAGTGTTACATTTCTAAATTAAAGGCTTTGAATGATTATCTCAACTAAAAGGAATTTTCGTTGTACTTTTAACTGAGCCTTAATTGAAAGAGGGACATGTTAGATTCACAACGGTACCATTTATAAAGCCGTTATCTGTTGTCGTTATTCTTTTGGAAATGTGTTTATTTCTAGCATTATTCGTCATATTTTCTGCAGCATATAAGTGCGCATGTAATTCACTGTAATCAATTTTCAGATAAAAAAACATGGATATCTCATTCATTCAAGGCTTTTAAGGATATCGTTGTACTCGAACATGCAACCCGCAGGTCAATTAAGAATATATCTTTTGTCCACTTAAAATAAAAAACTTTAGATAGAAGTTAGTTTGATCCATCCATTGAATTTTGTTATGTTAAAATCAACTTTTTTATCATCTTTTACAAACCTGTAACTTCTCATCCAATCCCCATTGGACCAGTTCAACTGCCATCTTATCCGCCTGTGCCTTCTCCGCCCTTTCTGTCTCCGCCTTGGCCCTCTCCTCCGCCTTGTCTACCTCTACCTTCATCTTCTCTAGGTATATCTTCATCTCTTCCACCTCTCCTACAGAAACAAAACGAATAGATTCAAAAAATATATTTTTGCAATTTGTATTTTCATTTGAATTTTTTCTCGACAAAACAAGTTTTTTCACATATTCTTTTTCTAACCCTAGCTATCTTAGTCTTATTCAAATTCGTTTATGGAAATTCAGCTTACTGTGCATATTCCTACATATAGCGTTCTTTACGTCAAGTTTATATTTCTGAATCCTGTTCATACTTCTACTTTTAACTTCCTTTATTCTTTACGCCAAGTTCATATTCCTGAATCCTGTTCATACTTCTACCTTTAACTTTCTTTATTCTTTACGCCAAGTTCATATTCCTGAATCCTGTTCATACTTCTATCTTTAACTTTCTTTATTCCTACCTTAAGCTTTCTCTACGTCCTGTTCATATTCCTACCTTTAGCTTTCTCTACGTCCAGTTCATATTCCTGAATCCTGTTTATCTTATCTTCATGTTCAGCTCTGAACTTGGTTTGTATTTCATCAAGCTGCTCAAACTTAACCTGAAAAGACCAAGCATTAAAAAATATTTTGAAACTGTAAATATACTGCAATGCATGTATTGTAAACTAACATTTTTAACAGAATAATAAAAATTGGGTTAAAAAAAAATATTAGACCTGTAGGTCAGAAATCTCCTGTTCTAGTTTAAGTTTAGCAGATGTTTCTTGGGACAATTCATTTCTCAACTCCTTCAACTGGGTCTCCTGAGTTAAAGTATTTAATGTTTTATACTGTTATTATACAAAATGTAAATTGTAAGCAGTATTATGAAAATCAATACTATAATGGTTGATTTAGAACTAGTTTGTAGTATAAAAAAAGAATCATTCATTTATCATGAACTTCTCATGTCCTATGCTTTTCCACTCTCTAGGGGGTGATGATCACTCTCCATGGGGATAAAAACTCGCCAGGGTGGATGAAAACTCTCCAGCCGGGATGAAAACGCTCAAGGGGGGATGAAAACTCTACAAAGGAATGAAACTATCGAGGGTGGATGAAAACTCTCCAAGGGGGATGAAAATCTCCAGGGAGATGAAAACTCTCCATGGGGATGAGAACTCTCCATGGGGATGAAAACTCTCCATGGGGATGAAAACTCTCCATGGGGATGAAAACTCTCCATGGGGATGAAAACTCTCCATGGGGATGAAAACTCTCCAGGGGGGATGAAAACTATCCAGGGTGAATGAAAACTCTCCAGGGGGGATGAAAACTCTACAAAGGAATGAAACTCTCCAGGGTGGATGAAAACTCTCCAGGGGATGAAACTCGCCATGGAGATGAAAAGGGGGATGAAAACTTTCCAGGGGGGATGAAAACTCTCCAAGGGATGAAATCTCTCCAAGGGATGAAATCTCTCCAAAGAGATGAAATCTCTCCAATGAGATGAAAACTCTCCAGGGGGATAAAAACTCTTCCAAGGTGGAAGATAACTCTCCAAGGTGGAAGAAAACTCTCCAGGGTGGAAGAAAACTCCAGGGTGGATAAAACTTTCCAGGGGGATGAAAACTAGTAGCCTGATAACAAAGTATCGGGGTATCTACTTATCCTAGTAGTTAATTTTTAGTATCATAATATCCTAACATAGCTTGTTATCCCAGTATCCTTAGTACCAGAGCTGCACTTACCTGCTGGTTCTCTAAGGTGGATAAATTATCCTTCAAGGACTGAATGATATTATCCTTCCCGCTAGACTGGGATTTAACAGTATCCAGCTCAGACTCCTGAATACGGAACAAGGTTTTAATAAATTCGGAACCAAAGTACAAATCTTTTAGATAAGAAAATGCTCAGCTTCAACAACTGAGCTCGATATTCATTGCCGAAACGTTAGATTGCTAGTTATGTCATAAATACAGGCATATTGTTCATTCCTCACACGGTCTAGCCGGTGTCAAGAGTCAAAGGTTTAACCTTCAAAAGGGGAAAGGCACTGGCATTGCGCTACAGACCAGAAAAAGTGTTGCCCCTGGATCTTACTGAAGACAATCATTGCTTAGAAAACTATTCAATGATTTAGAGTGAAGCTAAGAAAACTAACCCCCTAATAAATAAGAATTATATTTTTTTACTAAACTTGAAAATATTTACCTTTTTATTCAATTCTGTTTCTACACTACAGATCCTCCGACTAACCTCGTCCTTTTCTTTCGTAACCTCCGAAAGCTTCAGGGTCAGATCGTCTACACTTTTTCCTATATCACGGGACAAAGGTTAAAAACAAAACTAAATGGCTCAACCTCAAAATCAAGTTTTTTCTTTAAAGTTTTATAATTTATTTTTATTTTTAACCTTTCCTTTAGCTTGAAGTGCGTTTTCTAACTGGTTGAGTTTAGTAGTCAACTGACTTGCTTCTTTCTCACTTGTTCTGCAAATATTCAAGGTTATTGGTCAGCTTACATTTTTAAACTTTTAAGAAATTTCATTAATCTATCAATAAAACAAGACATTCATATTTACACATATATATGTCACCAATGGCCGGCCAAACGGATGAACCGAATGGGCTGAAATTTTTTGTGGACATTCATGCTTTGCCTGGGGGTGTTATAGACTAAAAAATCGAAATTCTTTTTCATTTTTTTTACGGGCAGCGGACTCTTGCTGCTCTTTTTAAATTTAATATTCCGTAGTTGATCCATTGCTTAAATCTGAGAATTTATGACACATTCTTCACATTACTTGGGTCTGTCCTAGAGAACGCTTTTTGGACCCCTCTCCCTATAAATTTTTATACATGCATCTTATATGTAACACTTAGATAACTTTTGACATACAGCCACAGCGCCCGCCCCCCTACCCTGTTCCAACCGTGGTTCTTGACCCCTACGTCTGCCCTAGCTGCAGTGCTCGGCCCCTTTGTCGGTCCTTTACTCACAGGACTGGTCGTCGATTAAACATTTTTCTCTAAAATACCGTGTTAACCTTCAAAAGCGGACCTAACATGCTAAAAATGTGCTCGGTCTCCTTTTCAAAGATTTAAAAAAATTCAAATTATAATTTTACGTTTACGTTTTTAACGACAGAATAGAATAAATTGCACATTTTTAATGATAGAATTGAGGAAATTCAAACCTGAAAGACGAAAAGGAGTTAAAATATTTGGAAAATCTTTGGAAAAAGGACCGAGTAAAGTTTTAAGGCTAGAACGGTATATTAGATTAATTTTTTTTCAAGACGACCCCCCCGATTAATTGACATTGTATCTACTAGGCACACATTGTAGTAAAATAAAACGAGGTTCAGTGGGTGAAAACACAATTAATATCTTTGGAAATGGGATCGCGCACATTTTCGAATATTATGCCTAATTTTGAAGGTTAACGTGGCATTTTAGAGAGAAATGTTTCATATACGAAACCATTATTTATGGGTATTGTACCTACTAGTACTACTTTTTAACACAAAACAACGATGTTTTGTAGGCTAAAAAGCCTAAACATACTTTTTTTCGGAGACACCTTGTAGTCTAACCCTGAAATAATGAAAAATAAATATATATTTAATGTTTAAAAGTTGAAATTACGTGCACAAGCATAACAGTGCAGGGGGTGGTAAAAAAAATCCGATATTAGGACTGAACCAAATCCGATCCATAAATCCAAAGTGTTTGTTTGTATTTGAAGAAGCTTGCACTTTGCCGTGTAACTGTAGCCGCGTAGAACAAGAGTCCGCTGCAGGTAAGATATCGCTCCAGGCCCTTCAGCTAGTTTTAAATATAGAAGGATAGACTTTTGAGCGTCTCCCATTATTGACAAAAATAACATAATATTGGTTTTATTTCTAAGTTCATGGGGATATTGGGTTAGTACACACAATGCACATTGCACAATCAGTATTAATTTAGAGTGGTTGGCTAAATAGCTGGCTATTTCTATAAACATTAGTGAAGTGATTAGCTCCATGCTATAAATATATGTGCAAATGTAAGGATTGGGGTTTAGTTGTTATATATCTGAATAGCTTTACATATTCATGAAGTATAATGTTTAGTTGTTAGCTAATTAATTATTCATTTTTAGTGTTAAGCTTCAACTATCAATGTATTCCGTGGTTAGCCAATTAGCTTAATGCCTATAATATTAGGTTTAGTGGTTAGCGGACTAGCTCTAAATATTTACGTAAGGTAGATAAATAACTCCTTGCAGGTCAAACAGTTTGCTAATAAACCTTAAAGAAACTTGTGCTGGCTGTTTATTTATACTTGATAATCAGCTGAATCTTGATCCCTCATTGGTTCACGGTTGCACCAGGAGGATTCATGATTGTAAAAAGATCCTTGACTGGAGTGATTTTCATGATTTTACATGGCTATTGTTGATGAGGATAAAAACATCTTGGTATCATTGGTTGCTAACATATGGTGTTGAGTACAAATAATCCACCAAATGCAGGAAACCAAGGAACCAAGATATCTAAACTTATTTTGTCTCCAATAGGAACCGAGTATCTTGATAGTACTTGGAGTACAGGTACGAGCTAAACCCTACAGAGTATCTGGATAGTTCTGAGTACAGGTAGGAGTTAAACCTACAGAGTATCTGGATAGTTCGTGGAGTACAGGTAGGAGTTAAATCTCAGAGTATCTGGATAGTACTTGGAGTACAGGTAGGAGTTAAACCTACAGAGTATCTGGATAGTTCTTGGAGTACAGGTAGGAGTTAAACCTACAGAGTATCTGAATAGTTCTTGGAGTACAGGTACGAGCTAAACCTACAGAGAATCTGGATAGTTCTTGGAGTACAGGTAGGAGTTAAACCTACAGAGTATCTGGATAGTTCTTGGAGTACAGGTACGAGCTAAACCTACAGAGTATCTGGATAGTACTTGGAGTACAGGTAGGAGTTTAACCTACATAGTATCTGGATAGTACTTGTAGTACAGGTAGGAGTTAAACTTAACTTTCTCCATCTTATTCAAACTTTCACTTGTCCAGTATTTAGGAAAAAGTTAATTCTTATACCATCTTTATTTCTCACCTTTTTTCTAATTCCAGTTTATCCAGATCAGTTCGCATCATCTTGGTCTCAGATTTAAGCTGAGTAACCTAAATAAAATTAAGGTTAATTGGCATCTTTTAAAATTCTTCACAATCGGCGTTGTTTTATAATTTCATTATAAGACATGAAAAGCTGAAATTTCAAAATAGAAACAATTTCTTTTGTATGTTTTCTGGAGTTTATTTAAAAATTGGTTTAATGTATAATCTTACAAAAAATTTAAATTTTTAAGTTTAAATATTTAATATGAGAATGAAGTATTATGACAAAACAAAATTAATACATTTTATTAGCAGAATTTTTGGAACACAACAAAATCAATCAAAAGCTTTTTCTTTTCATGACCATTAGCTAAAAAAGAGAAGTAAAGTTTACCTCATCAGATTTTTGTTTCTTTATTTCCTCAATCTGTTTAATCATCTCAGTCACCTAGTTAGTATTTTTATACATTTATACTCCATTGGATTCTTCTTTATAACTTTAAACGTTTAAATAAGTTTTTTTTTAAAATGAAAATTCCCAAATGATATGCTCCCTCCAAAAAAAGAAATAAACTTTAACAAAATAAAATTTAAAAAACAGAATAACTTAGATGGTTAGTTGCTGCAGGATTTTTAGTGGGTGGGTGGGGGAGTTATTGTAACCTGATCAGCGGATCTAATATTCTCCTCCTTCATCTCCTTCTCCTTCTCCTTCAGCTTGTTCTCCAACCCAACCTTCACGGACTCAGCATTGTGAACCTTAAACAATATTCTTTTAACTCAAATACTTCCTGCAAATATCACTTGAAAAGGAGAGTTCATGTATTTAGACGAGGGGCTATATAAATAGTTTAGGAGAAACCTAGAACCTAGCTGCCTATATGACTGCGCCAGGCAGGAACACGGACAAAGATGATTATTCTCAGATACTTCTTTGATTAAAAATCGGATAGAGAAAAATGAATATTACTTATCTACAATCTGAACCAGAAAGACCGGAATTAATTAATTAATCGGACTTTACAATCTAGTTTTACAAATATTATTGATGAAATACGATAATTCACGAAATAACCCTAGTCCTCCCATTTCCAAAATGTGGTCTGCCGTTTATGAGCATTTAAAATTGTCATAGATATAAAGTCGCTTGATTAATTGTTAATAAATTCCGGGTCTTTCTGATTATGACTCTTTGATTGAGTTAACCATACATTTACGGGAATCATACAGTTATCATACAGTTTAAGGAAAGGACAGAACTTTCGTAAATGTATTGATGCAAGTCCCGCAATCCGTAGATCAATGTGACCATCGATTCGTTGTATGTGCAACTATACCTATTCCTTACCTTACAATCAGCCTCCTTCTGAACCTGACCCAATCTTTTCTCTATATCGGAGCACTTGTTCTTTTCCTGACAAATAATTTAGAAATATACATATTTTTCATACTTGTGTATCAACCATATTCATACTCTATCCCCCTTCCTTCCCAATTACCAACAAATAAAAATGAACTAGAATCCCAAAAATTGAGGTACAACACTTATCCTTTTAGTTCACGGAAGCTTTTTACTTTTAACAGATTTGAAGAGAAAACAGTCCTACCTTGTCAAGGTCTAAAACAAGTTTACTCTTTTCTTCTCGACACTTTTCCAGACTTCTCTTGGTTTCCTCTAGTTCTCCAACCACCCTGGAGTCAACCAAACCTTATCATTATATAGATATCAAATATGTAGGTTTTCATAACTTTGAGATTTAAACTTAACTATTAATTTTATTTTTTAACGTAATTGTATACTGACGTATACAACGAGGGGGCTTGCATTTTTTTCTTTCTGGGGTGGGGCTCAGTCAACATCCATTGGGGCCCAACAAACCTCTGAAAATCATAGATTTTACAGACAAAGGGGGAGGGCTGAGCCCACATAGCCTCCCCCTGAACACGCCTCTGATACTTGTGTAGCTCACCTCCTGCTTGTGAATTGCTAGTTTTGAGTTCTAAACTAGATTTAGCAGATGCAAGTTCCACTCGTAGATTCTGGATTTCTTCATCTTAACATAAAGTTAACATAGATCACTTCAAATATTTAGAATAATACAGTATAGCCCATAAAACTGTGAACTAGAAAGACGACATTCAAGCAAACTTTTAAATTTGATTTTTAATGTTGGTAAAAAGCAAATAGTTAATACCAGTAGCGTGAAGATCAGAGTATAACTTATTTTTATTCTTACTATTCCAATTTTATGGATCCACCGTAAAAATTTATCAGAAGGGAAGAACAGCTTAAAAAAGTAAAAAGCATAAAAAGTAAAAAAAACTTTTCCCATTCTAGAATAAATTAATGAAACAATGATTTTAAGGACGAACAAACCTTTAAGTTTAATCGCTTGCTGTAGATTACCAACAGTCGTGTTCTCGTCTACAATAAGTATTTTTATCATTATCGTTGCATTCAAAACATGATTTTAACAAAAAATGCGCGTTTCATATTGACATGAATTATTAATTTTCAGTAAAAATGCGGCATTTAAAATAATGTAAAAATGACCAAGTTCAAAAATATAGCATTTGTTAAACTTAAATAAGAAAATTTGTCCTTTTTAAGCCAGATTGGGTTTGATGGAATAGATTTGCTTTGGGCTTTAGAAAGTTAAAATCGTTACAGATAAAATTGCAGTGTTATATTTAAGTACTTGCCAGTTTTATGTCCATTCTGTCCTGGTAGGCCGAGGCTTTGTCCTAGTTTAGCAAGACCTTGTCCTGGTTGACCAAATCCTTGTCCTGGTTGACCGAATCCTTGTCCTGGTTGACCGAATTCTTGTCCTGGAAGGCCAAGAAGGGATATATTTCCTCCACTGATACTCCGCCTAAGACCTCGTCGTCCTGGAGGTCCTGGTATCTGACTCCGGGGTCGAACAAGATCAGATTGACCACCACCTAAATACAGATTCGAGTAAAACAATGAAAAACATTTAGGCTCTCAGAAAACCCTCTCTTTCTGTCCAATTATAATTGTGTTTTTTACTGTATAGTAAGTAAAATTTCTTTTCTTCTTCGCTATCGGTGTTAAATAAAAGCCCTTTGTGACAATACTTAAAATTATGATTATACCTTGTGCTTGTGAGCAATCTCACTGGACTTCATTTCGTCGAAGGTCAAATCTTTCGTCTAAAAAAACATAAATTTTTCTTTCGTTCAATTACAGGCTTACAGCCCGTAAATCTAATAATTCTTCTGTACAGTGCAACGTGCTCACTACAAATCATACAAAAATTTTAGAAACCGAACAATATCAGAACAATTTCTCGAAAAAGTAAATTACGGCTATCGCTCAGTCAAAATAATATCCAAATATCTTATAACTTCTCCGCTGCTCGGTTTTCTAAAAACTGAACCATATTGTATGTACAGTATTCATACGTTTCAAAACCGGTTTTCTTCACTACGTGCAATATTGGTAATGGCCAATTTCTTATTCATTTAATCATAGGTACAACTATAGGTTGTATCTATCTATCTACACTGCTCTGGTGAAGCGTAACCATAGTGTGACTATGGTTCTACCTATGGTAGCTTGTCTAAGAAATTTGCCCAAAAGTTGACTATTCAGAGCCCGAAATTTAAACGAGTATCATAGAACGAAACTCCAGAGTTTCCTTTTTGGGGTCTTAATATTTGTGTAGATTTTGATTTAAGAGATTCGAAAAAATGGACAATATGAAATAACTAAATAAACATAATATTTCATTACACAAATATTGACATCCACAAAACAGCCTAACCCTATTCGTAAAACCCGGGTTTTAAAACTGGTTTTCATAACGATACCCTGTCTTAAATTTTGGGCTCAGTAAATCAAGTGTGCGCAACACACATTACACGTGTACACTACACTGTACACTGTACACTGTACACGTACATTTCAATTTGGTTCTTAATTTAATTTGTACTGTCTGACCTGTGCGGGAAGGGGTGTGTCATCAAACAAGTTTCTAGCGGTGGATCTATTGTTGGGAAGGGGTGTGTCATCAAAATCGTTGAAATCTCCCTTAGTTCGGTAAAATGCTGATTCAAACAACTTTGTCTCCAAATCCTAAAATTAATTTTCTACTGTCATCTATATTTTTAAACAAAAGTAATTTTACAATTAAAACAGGGTGAGCCGCAAAACACTGATCTAATTTGTGTTGGTACTAGGGCCGGCATGTCTTTTAACCTACATGCATAACTTATAGAAAGACCAGGAATAAATTAACAATAAATTAGACGACTTTACATATATATTTATGGTCATTTTGAATCAGGGGGGCTGGATCTTAGCTACAGGGTGTCCCACGAAACATG